CGGTAAAGGGATTTATACTACCTTTTTTTTATCAAATATTTAGTGTTTCTTTTATTTATCGAAGATAGAATGTTTATTGTAACGTTATAATAAATAATATTTTACTTTTATATGTTTTTCAACACTAACCCATGCCAAATTTGGTCCAAGGAATATCTCGGAAATTCGATTGAAAAAATTACCTTCTGGAAATATATTCAGCGAGTTCAGCGAGGAACGTTCAGAATAAGTATACACGAACTAGATTTTTCTAATTCTTACTAATTAAATAGACAAATCCTACTACAAATATGGAATATACTTTTACCTTTTTTAGTTGTCGAATCCTTATTCTTAGATCCATTCTTTTCAGCAATGTATAATTCTTTGATTTTTTTTATAAGTTGTAAGCTTGCATTCACGTATTCTAATCAAAATGAAATATATAATTACAATTGTTCTTCAACTAACTCAAATTGTGATATATTTAGGAGGACCGGAAAGTAATGTCGTTGAAGTTTCATTTGTCAGTTCATTCTGTTCATATATGTTGTGGCAAAGACATTTTGAGGTTAGAGTCAGTTCTTTAGTAGCAAATAATTTAACTTTTTTTTTGTTGCAATTTTTCGTGGAATGGTTAGCTAAATACCAGAAGAGGTACATATCCGGCATTGCATGCTTTTTGAGTTTTGTACGGGTAGTAACGCAACATTTCCTACCAAAAACATTTAAAAAAAAACATTAGACGTTCGTAAATGACATCATTTTTCATGTTCAAATCCGGTAATTTTAATTTTTCCGACTTGCATTAATCAGGCAGACCAATAATGTTAGCCAATGGCGTGTTAAGGGCAGAAGTCGGAGCAAATCCTTGTCAAACAATCGAGACATTGTCAAACAGTCTTAACCGACCTTGGTCGACCATCCAAGAATATTTGTAGTTGATTGGGAAACCACCGCATGCAATTGATTGCTTCAACGCCACAATACAGAAGCGTTTTTGATCGCTTGATTACCGGAGATGAAAAATGGGTCCTGTATGAGAATCCAAAATTCAAAAGGCAGTTGCTCTCTCCGAAATAATCGCCACGAAGTACTGCTAAGCCAGGGTTACACCCCAAAAATTCCCATTGTGTGTTTGGTGGAATTTTCTCGGCGTTACTCATTTTGAAGTGCTGAAACCTGGTAAATCTGTGAATGCAGATCTTTATTGTGAACAATTGGAACATGTAAATCAATCAATAAGGACAATTTAAATGAAAAGTGGCCCTCGATTGTCAATATGAAAGGCTTTATTCTGCAAATGAAAATGCAAGATCGTTCTGCGAAAGACAAATCCTGGAAAAAATTACTGATTTGGGAAAGGAGGTGCAGCCTCATCCACCATACTCTCCCGATGTCGCACCATCGGATTTCCATTTGTTCGGGTTGCATGAAAACTTTCTATGTATCAAAAGATTAGCAAATTTGAAGGATGTCCAAAATGACATTTCTATATATTTTCCTCAAAAAAATGTATTTTTATTAATTCTGCATTGACAATTTACACAGTAGATGGCAAAAAGTAGTTGATAATGTGAGAGATTCCATCACTAATTAAAAATAAAAACTCGTATGAAATTTATGTGTTTAAATCTAATGTAACAAAACGTTATTACTTTCTGGTTCCCCTAATTAGGGCGGCCCAGAAGGGGGTATCATTGCACAAGTTGCGAAATCAAAATTAATGAGAGAGGCACATTTCGACGGGGTTTTGAATTTTCAAAATGAAAAAATTCAAATAAAAACAACAAGTGGGAGCAAGGAACAAACCGCAGGATGTGTAATTGTATATAATCTATGTACAATCTATGTACATTTAAATTATACTTTCGTTTGTACTATTTTTAAGAAGCAGAGAGCAATAAAATATCTTAGTAGGGGAAGGTTTGTGGGCCATCGGTCTTAGGGGGGGATGGACACTCCTGCCTCTAATATATATTAAAAACTATTAAAAACATTTTACTTGGTCAGCTAATTCGTGAATAAGAGTTGCTCTTTCGAAAAATCTTTTACCAGCATTAGAACGACGAAAAATAAAGTCAGGAAATAGCCAAAACGTGAGATCTCTATACAATAGTATGTCATGACAACTGAAATCAAAACAAAGTAGTATATATATATATATATATATAATTTTTTTTTTTTATTTATTCATGATGTTTACAACTGTATTATAAAATTAAATACATTAAGTAAATTTGATAACAGAAAATAATAACATGAAATGACTTATTGAGAAACTACCCACTGGTAGCACTCTAAAAATAAAATGTATTTACAATAAGAGATCTTGAGGCCGTCTTCTTTTCAGATGACTCGGAGGGTTATCAGGAATAGAAGAGGAAGGAGAGGGTTAGAGACGAGAGGATTCGGATGGTTCTGAAGTTTATTATGGAAGGATTGGTATCTGGGTTGGGCCAAATCGGAAACATAAGGAACATTAAGGTCATTATGGATTATTTTATTGGTGACAAAGTAAGGAGTATTGAGGATTTTCCGAAGGATTTTGGATTGTAAAGATTGGATACGAGAGGAATTCAATGGCTTAGTGGAGCCCCAAAGCTCAACTCCAAAGCCTAAGTTGACAGACCTTATTATAGTCATGCATAGGAGTATTTTGCAATTATTCGGAAGCATAGACCGTTTGTTTAGTAAGTGCTGAAGTAGTCAGAAACGTCAAGCTGTTTCTAGTCGTTTCAGTCTGGTATGAAGATTCAATGTTAGACTTTTATGTTAGAGTCCTAGATATTGGATTTGTTCAACAGTGACAAGTGCAGTGTTATGAAAAGGATACTGTAGGACTGAAAGTCATATGTTTACGAAGAACGGTAAAGGTGATATGATGGAATTTATTTTAATCTTCCAGTTTTGACGTCATTCGTCAAAGTTTGAGATGTGTGAATGTGGAGTACGGGCTGAAGCCCTCCTCCTCCCCCCCCCCCCAAAATGGTAAAATATAACCATGTTTTATCGAAAACAATATTAAAGAAGCATCTCTTAAATTATTATTGTTAATATTATTGTGTAATTACATTTAAAAGAGCTTTAGGAATCACTTAAACACCATTTCATATAGGTAGGTAGTTTCTTTCTTTTTTTCCAAAGTAATTATCCTTATTTTTATGAAAAAAACAACTTTCGGGCTAAAGCCCCCCCCCAAAATAAATCCTGGATCCGCTAGTGCCTTTAAGTATAAACAATGGACTTAGAGGTCTATCAATTCTATTCAAGGTTGTATAGCAAATATTATTGATTTTACCATATAAATTCTTCCATGCCCCTCTTTTAATCCTTAAATCAGTCTTATTATATTAAGTGAGTGCATTTCATAGGATGTCCCATTAGGCTGTTCTTTTGGCTTCCTTAAAGAGGTTTTGAGTGCAGCCTCTCAATAAAACAATTTCTCCATTCCACCTAGAAACGTTCCTATTGGACCTACCTGAACAGCACTAACGGATTTAAGATTTCATTGAGTGGGGTCTTTGGCCCGGAAGATTTTATATATATATATAAAATGATAATTACTTTTAAATAAAAATAACAAAACTATATGAAATGGTAGATAACTGCTTCTTGAAGTCCTATTACTGTAATTACATGTACAGTAAAGCTTTCAGAGATAATTTATTTTTATTTTTTCATAAGATATAGTTATATTTTACCATTTGGGGGGGAGGGAGCTTCAGCCAGAAAGCTCCCTCCCCCTTTCTTCTTAATCACCTTAAGATAACATTTCACCTCTTCCTCAAGCATTTAACAATAAGAACCCCAATTTGTATATAGTCTATACAAAGACTATCAGATAAATCAAATTAATATCAGATAAATTAAATCTGATATAGCAATAACCAGAAAATGATTCTGTGTCCAAAACAACAAGCCCTTGATCTTTGAGGTACCAAAATTTAATACAAAGGCTTCCACTTCTTTACATTCTGATCACAAATTTTTTTTATAACTCTTAGCACAAATGTAAATCTTATCTCTTTTCGGTAATGAGGAAAAAAAAAGGAGGGAATGAATCATTACAGTTGCTACAAGATATAGAAGTACTATATATTTAAAAAGATTGATGATTCAAGATTTTAAGTATACTGTAATGAAAGTCTGGAGTAACTTCCAATATGTAAAGTCCAATAAGAAACTTTAATGATTCATTTCCTTTTTTTTCCCCCCTCATTACCAAAAAGAGAGTCTATTCAGTGACATTGTATCTATTCAAAACTCTCAGCATGATCCTTTTGTAATTGTTCACTAATTCAGAGAATAATTGATTACTACTAATAAAATTAGAATATTAATCATTAAAGCATATTAATGATTGAAACTTTTCATTTCATTGTTTACGTCTTATACTTTTCATTATAGCAAACATGAAAACATTAATTTTGTCAGCCTAATTTTTATTGTATTGTATTGTTTTAAGATATGAAAGTGAAAAGCAACCGTTAATTATTACTCTCACTGTAATATTTACAAAAAAAAAAATTGAAAAGAAAATTGAAGACGTCAACATATTTTCTAGGTGTACATTATGATATTAAAACATATTATTAATCTGGATAGGAATTGTGCATTTGTAATGAAAAAGATGTTTATGGTTTCATGAATAATGCCTATTTCTCTATTCTTCTGTTTTTAATATGTGATTTCATAATGTTATGTATCATATTAAGAATACTCATGTTATTGATTAAGTTTTTATTCTATACAAATTGGATTTATTATATATTACAAATCATCTACATTATTAATAACAATAAAAATAAATAAGCACATAAATTATTACTTTAATTTTAAAGAATGTACAATTCTTTTGTTTTCATTACCAATTCCTTAATAATAACTGAGATTCAAAATTAAGGTTTGTAATAGGAGGGCTTTAAAGATGTTTTCAACATATACTTATGTTAGTTTCCAGCATCTAATTTTTGAAACATGAAGTAATACTTTCTGAATAAATTAAATGTAAGCTATTTTCACTGGGAAAGAGAAGCTTTAGTATTGTCTCTAGGAAGAACTTTGACCAATAAACCTCCAGAAGGTTTCAATGTAATGGCATAATCCAAATCTAGTGAATCCATTGAAGCAACAGGCTCTAGCCAGCACTTCCTCACTACCGTTGAAAGCATAGTCTTCAATACCAAAATTGCATATTTCTGGCCTATAAAAATAACCAAAATTACTATAAAACAAACAGATAGATGTCAATAATATTTTTATTGTTATCATAATGAATTCATGTAGATTTTATTTTTTTGAGATGTGTGAAAAATATAAATTTTGATAATGAAAAATATTTTAGATTATCTCTTTAATGAGAATCAAATTATACTTGATAGTATCATACATTCCTGAAGGAGAGAACCCACTAATAACTACTATACTGTTATCTCCTTCATGTAAGGAGTGGAGTAGCTCAGTGGTAGGGCAATGATCTTACATTTCTCAAGGTCCCAAATTCAAATCCCGGCTCATGGCAGAAAAATTATTTATTCTGTTCCATGAGCCGTGAGGTGACCCCGAGATCAGGAAACCCTCCTAGGGTACATCCAGCCTCTATAAAGTGGGTACCCTTAATTAAATAATTAATTAAGGGGTGAAACTTGGCAGTTGAGCGTAATCTCAGTCAAATCACCTCCTTGCACAACCATTCACTAAGAAACAGTATTTTCCCTATAGTACTGAACCCAAGACCCTTCATGAGTTGTAGTTGTACAAGTTTTTTTTATTTCCTCATATATTACTTCACTAAGTCTTGAAATCAGTTTTGCACCAAATAAAAGCTTCTGTAATACTGAAATGACATGCATGGTGTACCGTTGGAATCAGAATTTCACGAGGATTAGTAAATTTTCTTTCCAAAATAAATATAATTGATATAAACATTTCACTAGGCAGGGATACATTCAATGCAAGGGCAGTGATAAGTTGGTTGATCGAGATAGGATAAATTAAGATTTGAAGATTTTGATGCAAACATCAAGACCTGGTTAAGTTTCATTGGAACTACTGAACCCTGCATTTTTAACCCAAAAAGGTACTGTTTTCGAGATAATGCAAGATTTAAGGGTTTGTAGCCACACAAGTTTACATTAATTCTAGTGTTGCCATGGAATACACATCTCATATTCTCGACTAGATTCCTATGAACGAAAGAGGAGAACTTTATTTTTATATTATTTCTCAAAGATTTTTTTGTCTGTAGACCATATTTTCATTAATTCTTCATCAAAACTTATCATTGTGCCATCATATTGAAGATTTGCTTCTTCTTCTGTTGCAAAAAATAACCCCCAAAGTTTAGTCAAAAAAGTAATGAAGAAAAAGTTATTGTTATTGTTATTATTATTTATTCTAAATATTATAAAAATGGAAATAATTTATTTTTAAAAGTTATTAATAATTGTTTTTATTTATTTTTTTTCATTTGCCTGTTCTTAAAAGTGTGTTTCAACTTGTAGGCCTTCACTAATTAAGAGGGTAACTTTCCATGGGAACCTGCCGTATTGGAAAGTAGGGGCCGGGATGCGATCCGATGATCCTAACTGTACTAGTATAGCATGCTAACCACTCTATTATACCAGATCCCAATTAATAATTATACTACTTCATAAATAAACGTTTTATCTTTCTTGACTAAACAATCCATTTTGGTAGAGTATTATTTTTAGTTAATTTATATTTGTATCAACATTATTAAAACAATAATTGTATATTTGGACAATGTTAATGCATATTTCAAGATTTACAAAGTATACTTTAAATTTTGTTTGTTTATAAAAATCTGTTCTCTAGTTACCTATGCAATTTCTTGGACCAGCTGAAAATGGTATGTAAGAAAATGAATGTCTATTAGTTCCTGGAGTGAATCTTTCAGGAATAAACTCATCTGGATTGTCCCAGTGTTTTTTTGAATGATGAACTCCATAAGTAAACACTACTACAGTTTTACCAGCTTTAATGACTCTATTTTCATCTACAATAAATAAAAATAAGTTACATTTTATTTTATACATTTTAACTATATTTTGATTTTTATTTGTTTATTATATTTAGGGACCTATACGTAGATCTTCTTTCAATAATCTTGAAGTAAATGGTACTGTTGGATATAACCTCAAAGTTTCCTTGATCACCATCTCCAAATAAACCATTTTGCTGAGATCTTGGATGGTTGGCATTCTTTCATCATTTTCAAATATTGCTATTTGTTCATCATATACTTTTTCCTGAAATCAATTATTGTTGTTAAAATTCTGTATATTTCTGAGCATAACATGAAGAATTAACCTTATAATAGACTATAAGAGGTATAAATAAATATATTTTTTTCAAGCAAGTTTACTAATCTGTCATGTTCAGGCTGAAGCCACTCAAAGTTGAAAAATATATATATTTTTTTTTTCATTGGACCATATTTGTTCCATTGAGCTAAATTCTTAAACAATCACAATGTACTCAAATTATAATGTTTCCACAGCTACTTAATATAAGCAATGTATCAAAAAAACAAAAAAAATATCTCTAAAATCATTATTATCCCCATAATTAATGTTCTTTTTTTACTTTCACTTACCTATTATATGCAATCTATAGTAAGGGTAAGTATTGCGATAGTGAAAATTTTTGAATCTGAGTATAAAAAACAGTTAAATATAAAATATGAAAGAATTTGATGATTAGCTAAAGGAATAATAAAAGATCGTAATGGATAATGGTTGAAATGGAGGAACCAAAGAAATACAAGCATATCCGAGCTCACGTGAGCTCGTCCGAAAGAATATAACAGGCTTTCATACATAACATGAGCTTAATATCATACGAACTCCGAGAATATTATCTTCCTATACATATGCGGTTTCATAAATCCTATCATTGCTATTATTTAATATTTAATTGTAAGGTTACTGCGATATAAAAATTAAAATTTGTATATATAAGAATAATTAAACAAATACAAATATCCACAATGAAATGTAAATAAATATAGCTTCTATAATTTTTACTTTCACGTCTCCTTTGCTGAAATTACTTATTTATACTAAAAGAGTGGTACTTATTTCTACTAAGAGAGTGGTAAGTGAAAGTTTTTTTTTTTTTAATCTGTTTATTGAATAATAATACAATCAGCCACTGCTGGAGGGCTATAAGCATTAGGGCTACAAGTTCTCATTCATACAATATATACAAATAATAAAGAAATAAATATAAATATAATAAGTAAATAAATAATACTGGTGAAGAAGTTAAATAAAAATAAAATAAACAAATAAAATAAAATAAAAATTTCTAAACACAATCATACCTATATACAATATATACATTCACCCAAGAATCTCCGAGCCAGGCTTTTCCCCCCATACGTGGAAAGCGAAGCAAGACTCCGGAAGATCCCAGCGCCACTTTTCCAGCCGCATCACTAGTATTAGAAGCCAATGGAGACTGAAAGAGGGCACTAGAGCCACAGACGCTCAGGACATGAGTGGAGAAGCTGGCCATTGCCAGGACTCCAAAGGCATATTTACAAAAGATCTCGAGGCCACTGCCGTTTCAACCTTCGAGGGGGATGGTATGGATGTTCGGAGCTGGATAGGGATTGCGCTAGAGGATTGGGATGATGAATGAGGTTCTGGTGAAAGTTGGAGAATCTGGATGGGATGATGTCATGGACATATGGGATGTTAAGGTCATGGTGTAGGGTCTTGTTCGTGACATAATATGGAGCATTGACTATTGTTCGAAGGACTTTGGACTGGAAGGATTGGATGCGTTTGATATTCGATGATTTAGTTGTCCCCCACAGTTCAAGTCCGTAGGTCCAGATAGGTTTCAGTATGGTCTTGTAGATTAATAATTTGTTTTCTGTTGAGAGATGAAATGTTCTGTTTAGTAGTCTATATAGCTGACCAAATCGTCGGTTAAGCTCTTGTCTTTTAAGTCTGGTATGTGGGTTCCAAGTCAGTCTTTTGTCCAAAAGGAAGCCAAGGTATCGGACTGTGTCTGAGTAGGGAAGAGGAATTGAATTAAAAAGGATTGGCGGACAGGATCTGCGTCGAAGAGTGAAAGTTACATGCTTGCATTTTGATTCATTAATTTTGATGCGCCAGTTGTTGCACCACTGCTCAATGAAGGAAAGGTGTCTTTGCAGGTTCTGAGACGCTATTAGAGGATCCAAGTGAGAGGATAGGATGGCAGTATCATCAGCAAATGTTGCTAGGAAGGTATCAGGACTTGAAGGGATGGCAGCGGTGAAAAGGATGTAGAGAACTGGGCCCAAGACACTGCCTTGTGGAACACCAGCCTCAATTGGATAATGTTTGGAGAGTTCAGTGCCGCAGCGGACTTGAAAGGAGCGATTTGAAAGGTAGGATTTGAGGACTAGGTACAAGGGTTGAGGTAAATGGGTTTTGAGTTTGAAAAGCAAGCCATCGTGCCACACCCGGTCGAAAGCTTGAGCTACGTCCAGAAAGGCACCAGTGCAATATGGTAAGTGAAAGTAGTGTGATGATCTTATTTTCATTATTCTCTGTTAATTTCTTATTGGTTTCAGCATTTCATAAGTTTTCAAAATGTTAGCAAGCAAGGTACTCTGTAAACATTCACTATTTATTTTGATGCAAAACTGTGGTATGGAATTAGCCAAACATCAGGATTTTTTTTTTGTATGGCTTAGAGATAACTTCAATGATACTGCATAAGTAACCACCTCTGGTAGCTCAGTTGGTAGAGCGGTGGACTGTAGTTGGATAATTATGGCAGAAATCCATAGGTCGCTGGTTCAAATCCGGCCCGGAGGAAACTTTGTGGGCGGGGTAGCCGAATGGGCTAAAGCGTGTGCACTACACCGCCGTTGCCTGGCAACCTGACATATGAATACAAAGATATAAAAATAGTCACGAGTTCGCGTCCCGGTGCCGGGGGAGTCTTTTAAATCCCCGCCCACACTCCCTGGCCCGGGAAAATCCCGTATAGCCTTAACGGCGAGGAAGGGAAGGACCCAAAAAAAAGATACTGCATAAGTGATCAAGTTCACTTTTGTCATGCAACAACAAATGTTTGATTTTCTATTTCCAATTATGGTAACAGTTATGAGTTAGGAATTTTTCTTAGAAGGTAAAATTGGGATATTTTAATGTTAATTGCATGATAGTTCAAGATCACTGTATATTTTGTCACAGTTAGGCTAAAATAAATTACCCTTTTTTGCTATTCTCTAATGTTGAAATGAAAAGCAAGCTTTTGTTGTTGATCAGTTCCACTATGATTGAAACTTTTATTTTTGATTGTTTTTGTATCATTTCTGAACTGAAAAATTCTCCCATGAAAATTTTAAACTAAAAGTTTTATAGAACTTTTATTTTCTAAAACTTTCACTGAAAAATTCTGTTAACACAATTAATTTTGCTAAGAAGTAAATTTATAAATTGGTGATTGTGCAGTAGGTTCTGAATATGAGAATAAAGAATTTATTCTAGTTAATTGTAACAGTAACCTAAGCCCATTTACTGCTTATTTCTGATTTAACAATACTTTTTTAAGTACTCAGGTGAATAAATAAAAGTTAAACTTTTATAATAAACTGAGAACTTCATAACAAAAAGCTCCATAAAAATTTATAATTTCTGCTCTGGAGTTTGCTGAAATAACAATGAAGCAATGAAAGCTAAGTTTCTAAATTTTCATCACCCTCTCCTCTTTTAAGCTCATTGAACTTGATTGGATAATTAATTTGAAAATGTTCAGAAGAAAAATTGAAAGCAATTCCAATTTGACAAGTCTGTTGAGAATGACCTATATTTAATACCATAACAGTTATTATTAGTTTCTATCAAGATAAAATTGCTAAAGGATAATCGTGAAATTATTTTAGTAACTGCAAAATACATAAAATGAAACCATATTGCAGTTCTTTAAATTGTTTTGTATCTTTTTATTTAACGGTGATTCAGACCAATGTGGTCTTTAGCCTCCTTAGTAAGTCTTCACCAGATGGCTCTTACCCTATTTTTTTTTTTTTTTTTTTTTTTTTTTTTGTACTCCCCTTCCTCGCCTATAGGCTAAAACAGGGATTTTCCTGGGTCGAGTGGTAAGGGCGGGGGTTAATGGCTGAGTTAAAAGATCCCTTAGGTACCGGGACGCGAATTTGTAATTATTTTAATCAAATAACCTCATATATCAGAATGCCGGTGGGGGGGTGATCGAATGGGCTAATGTGTGTGCACAGCACTGATGTTGTCTGGCAACCTGACAATTGATAACTACATAAAAATAGTCACGAGTTCGCGTCCCGGTGATGGGAGAGTCTTTTAAATCTCCGCCCTCACCCCCTGGCCCAGGAAAACCCCGTATATCCATTTTTTTTTATAATCCCCTTAAAGGCGAGAAAGTGGAGGACACAAAAAAAAAAATATATATATATATATCTCTGGTAGCCATAATTACATATAATGTGCTATACACATGTGTTAGCCCACTCGGCTACCTCACCTTAGATAGCTCTTATCCTTATTATTTCTTGTCAGTTCTGAGTTTTCAGTAAATTTCTGGCATCTTATATGAAAAAATCACCAACTAGTCCATTTATGCCTCCCAATCTGGTAACTTCCTTGAATTCTGATTAGCCATTCTTGCAGTGTTTCCAGCTCAACCAAGTCATTTAAGCTTATTGTGCTTCAGCACATTTCTATTCATATAAAGATAGTAAATCTCTTTGTTCTAAATCTTTCTCCACTTTTATTTTTTTGTCCATCTTGACTGGTTCAACAAATATCTTCTAAGTCCAAAGTTCTTCTGTTCGAAGACAAGGTTCTCCTTCCCTTTTATGCTAATTGAGAATATGTGTCTGTAATCCCATGGTGGTTACTTCTCCCTTCTTCTGTACTTTAAACTCATCTGAGGCCCATCTTATGTGACTGGTTTGTAAAAAGTGTTTGCAGGTCTGATACATTTCAGCACCTGTGGCAACTACACATACTTTATCCATATTTTTTTAAATACTATATCCATAGCTAATAATCTATACATATAAGACCTAAAGTACATTATATTGGACCTGTGGGTATTGCAGAATACGATCAATCTAATATTTCACTATTTTTATTTAGATATCATATTGAAAAAATATAAGATAGTTCTATTATTAGATTTAAAAGATTGCCATTACATTATAAAACATACCTGAATATCTGGATGGTTGGCTAGCAAAAGGTATGCAAACATCATAGCTGAAGCAGTTGTATGATGGCCCTAGAAGAAAATTATTTATTATTTATTATTATTATTATTTACTAGTTAATATATCTATAATATATAAGACATGTAATGTTAGAAAATTTGTTTCTGCTCCATCCTTTCTGCTCCAGTTAGTGTGCATATGAAACATATTACAATACTACAGGAAAAAAAATGTCAAATTTACAATGAAAAATTATATAAAAAATTATTAATTGAATTAATTAGTGCACCAAAGAGCATCAAACTTATACTAATTATAATTTTGTGGTATAATTTTCATTACTCCTGTTTGTTTATAAACAAATTATTATCAAATCTACTATTTCAGTTATAATAATGTAAATAAACATTGTAAACTAAAAAACTGTTCTGAAATAGATATTTTAAAATTGTTTTTCCCTAAATAAAAATATGTATAGAATGGCTGTGGAAATAGTCTCAAGTCAGGGACACTTTGTTCTGTCTCACTTGCATTTCTCTTGAAATCAAATAATTGAATTTTATAGAAAAAAAAAAAAACCTAATGTGTAATAACTGGAAATTAATCAATTGTGTTAGGCATAAAACAAAAATAAAATAAAACATAAAATACAACAAAAGAATGTACTCTTTCTACTCCAATGTACTGATGGCAATTACAATAGCTGTTGATGTCTACTGAAGTAAAGTCTCTTAACTTTTAGTTTTACACTTTGTGTTTTATGTTTTACTTTATATGTATTATAATACAGTATCAAGTGTCAAAACTATGTTAAAATTCAATTTTAAAATTGGGTTTAAGTGATGATTAGCTATCTAGTTTAGATTAAGTATTTTTGAGGTATCATTTTTCTTTTATAAATAAATCAATTTTAGGAATTGAATTTTCAAATAATATTTTCCTTCTATTTAAATGATTATTAAAAAATTTTATAATATTTTAGCCAGTCCAGAGAATCATTTGTTAGACGATTCTCCAGTCCTAGTTTAGTATTTTAAATACATCCAATTACCGCCGTCATGAAAGTGTCAACTTCTTCCATCATATCAGATTCTGTGAACAAACCTGGATGGGAATCTTCTAACTCAATTAATGAATCCAAGAATGCTTTTCTTCGATCTGTAACATTAAATTTTATAAATCAAAAAGATTGTTTACCATAGTTAAATTTCATAAATATTACTTTAATAATATTAAAATTATCCCCCTCATTAGACCCTTATAATATTAAAATTAGACTCTTTCATTTTGGTTGTCTATGCTACCTAATGCTACCTACCCAGTTCACTATGCTGACCTTAGCATAAAGGAAGAAAGAACCTCCAGTTCAACCTACATCACTGGCGGATCCACGGGGGAGGAGGAGGAGGGCTTTCTCCCAAAATGGTTAAATATAATCATGTCTTATGAAAAAAATGTTTATAATTATCTCTAAGTATTATTGCCGGTGTTATCACATTTTTTTTTTTTTTTAGCCTAACATTAAATTATATAAATCAAAAAGATTGTTTACCATAGTTATATTGCATAAATATTATTTTAATAATATTGAATTCATATTAATTATATTATGGTTACATTATATTATAATAATAGCAATAAATTAACATTGAAAGTTCATTTTTTTCTCATATTTTCCTTAATTTTTTTCGTATAGGTCAGAATAATAAATAATGCTTATAGTTGTAATTATTATTTATTAATGAAGGTGAATCTCTGTCCCCTTCTTCAGCATCTAAAATTATACATTTAATATGATATAGATTCTATCTTAAACCAGTCATATTTAAATTTGAAGCACAAAACTTTTTAATATATTGAAAAATATATTAAAAAATATTTTTTGTCTAATCTAATATAAATTATTTTATATATATTAGTTAAAATAATAATATGCATACATGATATGCCCCAAAAATTGGGTATGTAATAAATAATAATCGAAACTAATTGCATTGTTTATACTAACCTATAAACAAAAAAATAATGAAAATTGTTACATCAACTGAGCTATTATGGATGAATCGCTCCCTACTTTTTAAACCAAATAAACATCATCTTTCTATCTTATCATTCCGACTATTGAGCTAGTTATATGTGAATCTAAAGGCTTTGTAGGACTAGCGTTGGTACCTTTTTGTTTTCCTATATACTAAATTTCATTAAAAAACACCCAAAAGTCTTTCAGATTTATAAGGAAGAATCATAAGCTAGCATAAATTTTGTTAATAGGTCATTATCTGAATAATACTTGAAGTTGTTTAAAAATCGTAACTCTTATCCCTGCACTTCCCTAATTATCATACTTAAGACTCCGAGGAACCTACAAGAAAACATGTTAAAAGTAGCTTTGTTGCATCAACCCTATTTTCTTTTGGTCAGATGGGGCCAAATTCCCTTCCATCCTCCTTTCACATCCCTATTAATCAAACATTGTTGTGTTTATTGGTAGTTGTATTTAAAGCTATCAATCCCATATTTTTATATTTTTGGTCTTTATTTATACGGCAGAATTTAAATTTAGGGTAAAATATATTAAAATAATTCAATTTTTAATCAAGAAAATTTTATTATAAATATTAAATCTAACTTTACCATTTTTTTCTGATCCGTTATTCTGTGATCCATTCTTTTCAGCTTGGAATAATTCTTTTCTTTGTCTAATTACCTAAAATTAATTTTAAATATTTTATAATAATATCAAAAAGGAAAACATGTTTTAAAATATTTCCTTATTCATTTATTTGGTTATAATTTAAGATGACATGTTCAACAGCTTATTTTAGATACACACTGTTCTTTTTATATTATATTATATCCGCCTACAAATAATGTTATCCTTAATAATAACTAATAAATTCTTCTAATTTCCTAGTTTTGAGGCTTGACAGAAATCCATAGAGTGTTAGCAAAGTTATTAATAAAACAAAAAGCACAGAAATTTTCCTAGAATATGTTCAGTAGTTTAGTCACTGTTACAGCTGCTGCTTGTTAAAAGATTTTTGAGGAGTTGGTCTTGGGTGTCCTATATGATGTCCAATACTGATTCAAGTAATGACAATCCTGGTGGTTCCCTAATGTCTGAGGCAATAGTCAGGAGCCTTCATCGGTGTTCTTTATTTTGCTAATGCTGTTTCTAAAATTAGATGGAAAGTACAATAGGGTCATTGGATAATTGAAAATTTTGGATTTCCTTGATTTATTTGTTTTGACCCATCTCTATAGATATAGATAACTTTTTGTTGTAAATTAGAAGATTTAAAATACTTTGTTTTAATACTTGGGGAAGATTCTTCACCCTTAATATATAGAATCTTGGATAGCAGTTTCAAATATTTAATACATTAAAATTAATGAATTATCATTTAAATATTTGATTTATTAAATATTATTTTTTTTAATTTTATTTATTTAATGAAATTTACAACTGTATAAACAATACAACTAGTGAAAATGCACACATTAGAAATTATGACATGAACAGACTTGAAGAGATACTGCCAAGTGGTAGCACTCCCTATTTAATTCTAGGTGAGAAGATTAGGTGGCCATCTTCTTTTCAGATGCCTAGTGAGATTAACATGAATCGAGGAAGAAGCAAGGCTGAAAACAAGTGGATTCGGATGGGACCGGAGTTTATCATGAAAGGATAGGTACCTGGCTCCGGCTAAATCAGCGACATTATTGAATATTAACATTATAGTAAACATTAAAATGTTATTAAATAAAATCTGCCATACCTGCTTATCAAAATTGTGAGTAATTTCAACATTTTTAAAAAAAAGTTTGCCAGCGCTACAAAAGCGAAACATAAATTCAGGATAACGCCATACCCGAAGATATCTCTCCACTATTTCATCAAGACAACTAAAAAAAAAAATAATAACTAAAATAGATATCATGTGAGCGTGCATATGTGTACCAACTAATGGTGCTTAAGCTATAACTTAAGGTGCCAGAGCCACCATGCAATCAATATTTTCAATGTGATGCAATCTTTACATTCAATGCCATTTAAATAAAATAAAAATTGTATTTTTTATATTACACAAATAAGTTTTGGATATTCGTCCATACGGTGTGTTCTTTAATTAAATGTTGATTGCTCCAATGCAGGAAACCAAGTTTCCCCACTTACCAATTTTACTCTAAATTCATTTTGAGAAATCAATGCCTCAAATGTGTACATTTTAAAAAATTCTCCTTCATCATATATATCGTTTTTTGAACCCTATTTAACTACTTTTATGATAAGTATTATTGAAAATCTATTATATATATATAAAGATAGCAGGGTAGTGGCTCTCATTGTCAGTTAAAATTAACATAACATCTTTCAATATATGTATGTATTTGTTAATATTTTTTAATAACCAAGAGTAAATTTTTTAATATTATTACTATCTTAAAGCGTATCTGATTATGATATTGGTATGTTTTCTTAATGTTTGTTTTAACAACCAAGCCATCGCTCTATCTGGCGATGGCATTAGTCGAAAATATTAGATAGCGTGATGAAAATGTGATAATTCTTATATTAACTGTGTTAAGGAAAATTTCAGAGCTGGATTCTTTTTCTCAAATTTGACAGAGACACTATTCATTGCATGATGATACTGTTACACGGTATAGTAACAGATATTTTTCTAGGCATGGATTCAGTGATTTATTGGAAGAAAGTGGTAGGATCCCAAAAGATTTTTCAAGAAGGCAATTGTATTAGGATGCTTTCTGGAAATGAATTTCCACATAAGCATACAGTGACAACCAGACCAAGAAGAGAAACTTCTAGAGTAGTGAACGCTATTATCCCAACTACTTGGAGGTAAGAACCCAATTGATAAATATGACTCTCTGTTGTAACAACAACCTCAACCAAAACCTCGGTATATTATTCAGCGTAATATACCTAACCATCAACAACCGCATCAACATCAAATTCTTCATATTCCTCCTCCTTCAAATGATACAGATCTTACCAGTTTGTTGGTATCATTCCTTCAAATCAAATTCCTTGTTACATCACTCATATCACTCCTTAAAAATGTCATATCTCTCCTCATTCCTACTTTAAAAACTCTCTTTAAATTCATATTCATTCTCCTTTGGAATGTGAATGGTGTTAGAAATCAGTTTGATAAACTACCAGCTTTACTACAGGACAAGACCTAATTATGGAAACTCAACTGAACAGAAAAAATACCGTATCGACCATCCAGATGGTAGAGCACATGTCGCCACTGCTGTCATTGCACACCAATCACTTTCTCATCATCATCTCCCATTATCTACTCAACATTTCTCACAATTCACCTCCATCATAAACAAAACCTTCTCCTTTCCAGTCACCCTTGTATTAGCACATGTCCCCCCTAACAGATCCATACCTGGTTTCCAGTTCAGTTATCTCCTCAACTCCTTGAGACATCACTTCATTTTGTGTGCAGACTTAAATGTCAAACATCAACAATGGGATTCAAGAATCAAAAATTCTCATTGTAGAACATTGCTGTCTGCAAATAGATAGGAAATAGGAAAATAGGAAGGTTCTGGTTCCATAATTTGTCCAGAATTTTTGGATTTTGGACCCTAGGCTATTCTTACCTAACCACCTGCCCGACTTACCACACGTGACCAATATTAATATTTTAATTAATATTAATCCTAATCCTTAATCCTACTTTGTATTTTTACTTTCACTTACCTTACGGAATTTCTACAGAAGAATTAATAATGAGCAAAAGCCGTTTAAACCACGAACCGCTGCATGTAGGGATACATACAGCACTCTTCTCACTAGCATGGATAATGAGGAGGTTCAAATACCACTTCGACGAACTACTGAACGTCGAGCTGACCAATTGGATCCTTACCCTGAAGAAAACTAGCGCAATGAGATTGAACCGTATGATGAGGAGTGGGAAACCAAGTTTTCATGAACTCCAAGTTTAGTATTTTGTCATATATTGTGCAGTTTAGTTCCTATGAGTTTGAAAAAGTGGATGAGTTCATATACCTGAGATCCCAGATAACTGCAGGGATTGAGATCACAAAGGAAATAGAGTCATTGCTAACCGATATTACTTTGGGTAGGAAGACATCTGAGGGAGAAATATCTCTCAAGGACAACAAAATTATGGCTGTATAAGATGCTGATCAGGCAGGCCGGTCCTGACGTACGGCTCGGAGTCATGTGTAATATCACAGATAGATGAGCGAAGTTTATTGGCTTTTGATAGAAGAATTCTACGGCGCATTTATGGACCTAGAAGTGTCGGTCAAACATACCTCAGGTAGGTTAATCAAGAAATATATAATCTCCTTGTTGAACCTGACATTGTGAAGTATATTAGGCTGGGGAGACTGAGGTGGGCTGGGCCATATAGCACGGATGTCAGAGGATGTGATCTCCAGAAAAATAATGAGTGAGGCCATTCATATTGCCAGATGCAGAGGAAGATGGGTGAATGGCGTTGCAGAAGATGCCCGGACGATCTTAGGGGTACTGGAGTATTTCTGCCCAACAGCTTGCAGACGGTATTGGAGGAGATCAGTGATGAGTAATGGTCTATTGAGCCAAATGGAAGAAGAAGAAGAATATAGTTAATTAATTATTATTTTGCTTCTGTTAATTTTATATTTTCTGTATATGTGGTGTTTACATCACTATAACCATCGTCCATGTGTCAACATATTATATTACTCAATAAATAAATAAAAAATAATTTACACCATATTAAAGAAAAATAAAGCTATTCATTCCAACTTACATTTTCGAAGCTTTTATGTATTGATTCTCCTTCTTGTTTTTAGTACTAAGTTGAACACCCATCGCTGTTTCTGTAATATCAGTATTGTGTTATGAAACATTTTTTTGTACATGAATACAAAAATGTGGATGGTAGTTTTAACAATTTTATCCGAAGTGCAAATATTTTAGGAATAAAAATTATTTTCAGTGCTTTATTTTGGATTTTCTTACCACATATTAATTTGAGTGTTGATAAAAAAATAGCTTCTTCTAGTTCCATCGGTTTCCCCCCAGAGGCAAGTAAATCCGAAACATGTACCTTTGCATTTCGGTTTATACTTATTAAAGCTAATTCCAGAATCTTAAAGTGAAAACTAGGCGTTAGTAATTTCCTGCGGGAACGCCACTTATCACCTGTTGAAAAACAATATTACCAATAAAATAAAAACAAAAAATGCTCATGTATCAGTTAATATATGGTATGAATTTAGTCTTGTCTCCTTATTACTAATGTTCTTAACTGTGACTGTTCTTTACATTACTGAACTTTAAAAAACAAAGTTATAAATTATGCGCCAAGTAATATAGTCTATCAAATACATAGTCATTACACCGTTTAATCGTAACTGATGTAATTATTTTAAATCAAGGCACACATTTTTTCCTAAGACTATGTTATGTTGTTCATTGAAAGAATAAGATGAATTTTTGAGGATTCTTATGGTAATAAAACATTAATTATTTCTAGGATTAATGGCAATGGTGGTATAGCATGTCCTTCCTATGAATTTGAAAATAAGTCAATGTTTTACTAATAAAGAAGCATTGAAGATCTTACATACACTAAAAACCATATAAATTCAGGAACGACTCACATGAGATCACACTGTCAGTGGATCACTGATTTTAACCAAATCATATTTTAGTGATTCTATATTTAAAAGAAAAGGTACTTACATGATTTTCAGAATGCTGAAAACAAATATGAACTTGTTTTATACATAAATGCTTAGCATATATTTTTTGCCTACTTTTCTTGAATGAAAGATCCATTTTTTCTTGCATTAAAAAATAAACAAAAATAACATCTGGACGTTCGAAAAGCGATAAAGAACCGCAAAATGTTCAAGGTTGTTTTGCTTTCAAAGTTGCCCAGCTGATGCAGTCCAGGAAGTCGATGAATAGCCCTCCTGTGATTTAACAGTATCAGGAGTACTGGCAGTGTGTAGGAGTAGGAGGCCATAAGTGGACATTACCAGAAGTAGCTGAAGACCAGCAAGAGGGGCATTTGGAGCCCATCAGCCATAGGGAAGGAAACCTATCTAGAGCCCCAGTATCCTGAGATAAGAAGGAAATCCGTGGTGCTTTGAGAAGGGACCAATCATTTCTTAACAAGTACTGCAGACAGGACAGGAACAATTGCCAAATGGAAAATAAAACCTTTAACAAGAAAGTAAAAAGAGCTTTTAGAAAGAACGGATATGTGTAAACTCGAATAAATTAGATTATAGGATTGTGTGAAGTATAGATAAAATATTCATCAAATATAGCTTGATGGTTATGAAGGACGAAAGAAAAAGCAAAAGAAAGAGTTCCTGTTTTGATGGGTAAAAAAAGGCCCAGCCCATTTTAATCTTGCACCCAAACAATCTCCTCCTCAAAGGTCACCGAGTAGAGGAGGTTAAAAAAAAAACGGGCACTCATCTGGAGATGAGGGGCGGAATGGATAACTGTAGCTATTGAAAGGATTATCAGTATCTTAAAGAAGCTGATTAACAACATCTGTATGTATGTCTAACCATCATGGCTATAAGTGCATTAGGACAACAAAAACTCGCTACTTAAAATATGGTTTTAGTAAAAAATCCCATACTTCGCTCTTCTAGGCGCCTCTGCCTCTGCAATTTACTTTTTTGTGCAGCTTCTATTTGATTAGTTTCTTCTGATAAAACTGAATATTGCGATTTTGCAAGAAGCGTTTAGGAGTATCGCTGCTATAGGTGAAACCATGGATATTGGATCTTATCTAATTTAAAGGAATTACACTCACAGCTTAAATGTAAGCAGAAGGGAAGGATGTTGTAAGGTTCGATGAAGGATAAAGCTGTTCTCTTGTTATCTCGATCTTCATCCTTTTATTGGTATTCTTTACAAATAAAACAAATTAAATAGAACTTTTCAATAAAAGTGACCGTTAATGAATAGGTTTTACTTACCATCAGAAACTATAAGTCCATCGTTGAACATGGGTCTGAAGAATTTATACTCGAAATAACCTTTAGTAATATTTACAGAGTTGGTTAGTACTGGCTGAAAAGAAAATGTGGTAGGATTTGTCAATTTACTAATACATTTATTTTTATTGGTGTAATATTAAAATAATTTGTATTAAACTAATACATCCTCATGAAAAAATTATTATGTCGTTAGAAACAGCTATAATATTAAATATATTCTGTCAATATGAAAATTCATAAGTATTTAAAATTAATTAATGAGAAGTGATTGGTATATTTTAATTATTTTTTAATTTAACAAAACAACAAAATTATTCAAACTGTTGATTAACTTGTTAAATCGCTCATTAAATTTTAACAAATACCAGAGTAAAGAAAATAAATAAAATGATAAAACTGCTATTGTTCTGTTGCAAATTTCGAACAGTAATGATCAAGAAATCATGCAAACATTTGCTTACCATTTCTTTACGTAATGACATTATATTTACATCGATTTCAATGCTACAGCGGTTCCTTTCACCTACAGGTCAGTGTTAAAATTTTGAAGGATTTTAAAATTTTAAAGTTATTTTCATTACTTTGAAGCAACGATTTAAAATCTGTCGTTGTATGCTTCGTAGAGAAATTTGTTTAAGGTTAAAATAAAAAACCATTTTGATAGTTATTTTTACTTATTTATTTTTTATCACTTTTCTTAAAAATCAACAAGAGACAACGAGCATATTTTAGCTTACACAAATTCACTTACTTGTTAATAAAAAAAAAAAAAAGGTTGTTTTCCTTTTCACCAATAGGACTTTCATTAAGTTTGTTACGTTTTTCTTCGATTAATTTGCAACTTCGATTTCATCATACACTTTTCAAGACCAAGACCAAGGCCGCCTAAATGTTGCAAGACCAAGACCAGGACTGATAAAAAAAAATCGATTTTTCGACTTGAAAATAAGGCAAAATAATTACTAATACTTGACAATCTTAGTTACTATATGTAAATAATTGGTATAACCAATATACTTTTGAATTTAACTCTTCTAATTTTTCATTCGGACTTAGATAGGTTTCTTCTTTCTAAAAAATTACAGTAATATCTCTTCAGCAATAAGCTAATAAGTAACTGCAAGACTATTGCGAGACTCTTGCTCAGACAAAGAACATGACCAAGACTGAGTCTGCAAGAGTAAGACTCGTCTCGGTCTCGTATTTGGGCAACATTAGCCTTTATCCGACGGCAGTTAATAAACAGAACCAATTTGGTACGTTTAGACGATTCTCAAACGAGCTATGATCCAAACTTTTAACTCAATAATTTTGTAGATGAGAAAAATATATCAAAGATGAAACCATTGATAACTATTAAAATCGGATAACATCTGAGTTTCAATTGATTGTACAATAAGTAGTTAGATTGGAGGAATTTTCTTCAATTACAGTTTGAATAGCCAGTGGTCAAGCTTAACGAATGATGGGTGAAATGTACTCACAAAGTTCGCAGAATACTGTCCGATTTTAAGGTCCTAATACACCAATACTTATACGCGCGACCATTTTTATAATTTTTTATCAGTGAATCGATTTTTAAAATACATAACACATTATTTGTATTGCTGGATCTCGAACTCCTTGGCATACAATTATTATATATTATTCAGGTATTAGTATACCTAAATTCATCGTGAAAGTACCGCAAGAAAGCTGAAAAATAAGGTTTTGTCTTTGACTTTATATAGCTTCATGCCAAATTAATGACCATTGTAAATGTTGTAATAATAATAAATAACTTTATTATATCCTTACCTCCACTACTTCTGGCTCCGCAACGAATACATAAGGCATACCAAATACTTCAACTTCAAATATTTCTCCATATTTTTTGTACCAACCAATGAATAAGGGTAGGATATCTGAAATATAATGAATGAGGTAGTTCTTCTAAAGAATAAGTTAGATGCATTTAAATATCTGTATACTATAAATATAAATAAGTGATATAACTATAATAATTGGATTCTAATATTAAATTTGGATATAGTCGAAGTAAGTAGACTGTTTTCACGACTTAAAATCTCCAAAAATCTAATAGGCGAAATTAGTCGTTATGGCCGCGACATAAATCAGCAACGAATTTCCAAGATCAAACAAATTATTAATATAATACAGTTTGGTAGGGTAAGGATTTCAGGGCGATAAATTGCTGGATTATTACTCCTATAATATAATACGGAATAGTGAAGTAACCGAATCTTTGCCAAAGAAACCCATCATATTTAAATAAAATTGACAAATGAATATTCAGAGGTAGGGTAACATTAACTAATTTTGACTTCATAAACTGTAGTAGGCTATACCACCAAAAAAGGAAGGTATGTCTAACCAGAGAATCGTGACATATTTCTCAGCCTCCTCTTAAATGAGCTACCTCACTTTATTACTAATAGGTCCATATTGCCGATGATGGCTCGTTTATGTAAATACTACGGTCTCCAACACTTTACTCATGATACAAGACTTATATACTTATTGGCTTACAAGACATATTAGTCTATCAAGCTAATTGCTTGTATTTTTGTCCACCTTTGTAAAGGAGCCAAAGACGCTAACATTTTCAAGATTTTATGAAAGTATACCCTGTCCAGGTAAACATTGAACACCACCAGGAGCCTTTCTTCAATATAGAGGATTCCGTTGTTTAGAATTTTTGCCTCCATGCGTCTCGTACAAGACCAGTACTTTGTTTTTCCAGGCATACGTAGACAACATTTGTCGCCCCAAGGTACGAACTTTTGCACCTATATCGGTAGAAGAATTCATTAAAAATTTTAAGAGCTCCTAGCAGTAAGGTTATAGCAGGTCGAATGAACGAACTATAAACACCATGTTTACATGATTTCTCAACGGAAGGACGACTTTCAGAAAATATATGATCGAATTAAGAAGCATTAGCTTTGTTCTTAGATATAACACTACCAGAATATTAATTTAACTGGATAAGAAATTAATTAGTGTTAAAGAATACTTTTAAGTTTATGAGAGACAGAAAAAATTCTAAAAATCAACAAATTAGTACCGGGTTCGAAATGGCAATGCGACGAATCCCCAGTTCAGTTAAATTATCTCTTTCTAAATTAGGTTCTGTCTATATTTTTTAATTTTTAGATTTCATTAAATTGTAGTTATTATAGGAATAAATCTGTGTAAACTGGATGATTTATTCATCCATGATTATATGATTAAATTCATAGTTCGTTCCAAATCTTTAGCAAATCAATCAACAATCTCAGAACCCTAGATGCCGGAGTGACTTTTGACCTATTTTATTTTTATTGCGAGCTTTAGTTGAGTATGTTCATGGAAGTTCATTTTAATAATTTCTAAGAGCTGGTCGATTATTTCTCGGCTTAGAACTGATTTATTAACACCATCTTATCTGTTACAAATAATAATAATAACTTTTACTGGTATAAGAATTTTAGTTTCATAATATTCATAATATTCTTGAAGTATATTGTTTTTAATCCTTAAACAATTTGAAAGTGAACCAAATTTACGATGTATCAATAACGTTAAAATAATATACTAAAATCCTAGGAAATCTCAATAAATCAGAAATTAAGATTGCGCAATGCTATGATAAAACCAGTTCTAATATTTATATTGGTATATGGCTATGAGACCTGGACACTGACCAGCGCTCTAGAAAAAGCATTAAAAGATTTAAGAAAAAAAATCCTCTACACAATAATCGGAGGGATCTGGAACCAGAGTAACAACGCAAGAAGAAGAAAAACCAGTAAGGAGCTGCTTACAGAAATTGGTAAATCAATAGCTCATGATACTAGTTAGGATGGGCGAGGCATGTAGCTCGGAGGAAGCCATCCGAAAGCCTCTACACGGAAATGAATGAATCAATCGTATACAAAAGATGAAGTTAAAGGCCAAAGAGCAGATAGTTAGATTGAATTAACTAAGATGCAATAAAGTTGCGTGCAGATAACTGGAAATAAATAGGCCAAGACAGGCAGAGATTGCGGCAAAAATCAACAAGGTCTGTAATACCAACAGAAAAAATAAACAATTTTAAAGATTAGTATTACGAAATAATTGTACTAGTAATTAATATACTGTCAGATTCAAGGCCAATATCTCAACAGCGAGGAAAATGTGAAATTGTTTGGAGTCCTTATTTCGCATCAAATAAAAAAAAAATGAATATATTGCAGTTAATCGATACATAATTTCTGTTTGTTTCAATTTTTCTCTTATAATTGGATGGCTCAAAATTATTTTAAACTAACAGATTTCAAAATTATTATCAATTTATTTTTTCTCTTATAATTCAGTCCTTTTTTTTTTAAATATTCAATGATAAGTTGTAAACAGTTATGTAAAAATTAAAGCATTTTTAAAATTTATTTTATAAAAAAATATTTTTAATATAAGAAAGAATTCGTGTTCCAAATTTCGATAAGAAGACGAAAAAGACCTAAGTGTTTGAGCAATAAAATTACACTATTGGATTTAGGAAATAGATAGAAACTTTAGAAATCTATCTGAAAGTTCATCAAATAAGATAATGAACGTTTAAAGAATTTTTATTTTATTTTTCTCATAGTTCTTTCTATTTTAGAATACTTGGTAAAATAAAAGCTGATGTAAAATTTTCAGCAATCTTAAAGTGGGTAATTCCTAATTTCTTAAATCAATTATTGTAAGAGTGGTGTTCTAACTAATAAATGCTTATTTCATCTCTACTAAACCTATGAAGGAAATTTAAAATCTTAGAATTTCTATACTTTACCTCAATTCAGATAACAAAAAAAAAAAAAAAAAATAGAAGAAATAGGAAAATACTAAATGCAAAATTCTATGCCATATAGCTTTTATTAAATGTACTTTCATTTATAACGCTTTCAAGTTGAAAAGGACTGAAAATGTCTATGTAGAAATATTTATAGTTGTTAATTTATAGATTAATCGCTGTTTAACTGTCAGTTTGAAATCTTCTACCGAACCGAATCTAATAATTGAGCTTCTCAATTCAGTGTTTTTTAATTTATAATAAAATATAAAGTTTTCACTTAGATAAGCCATTTAAATAAAAGGTATTTGCCCAAACCTGAAAAAAGTCCGATAGTTTAATCCCCTCAACTTGGCTTCCAATTTTGGATACCATTGTCTGATATCAAGCAAACAGATTCACAGCTTCTAAACACCCCACTTTTCGCGTTGCCCTCTGCTAAGAACAGTGTATAATACTATCTATCGTGAAATAAAAGATTCATTTCATTTTCAGTTTTCCAACTCATATTATAGCAATTTCTGTCTTCTTTTCCTAGGCTAAGTCAGCGGCTCGATATTTTTCTAGGCTACTGCATTCGTTAATCTCAGAATAGCCCAATTCTCATCTGTACTTAGTGGTCTACGAGTGTTAACCATTGAAGTATAAATCGTAATTCCCAGGTCTGAAGAAAGACTTGTGAAATTAGTAGGCCAATATGGCCGTTTGATTCTATTAATCAATTTAAACAATACCGTGAAAATCAGTATGATGTTCATAAATGTTCTTAACCACGTTATTTTGATATGTAGTTGGAGGTCACGCCAAACGGCAGGTAATCAAACTATCTATCTATGGGTGTTTTAACTACGTCATAAAATATAAATGTTTACCGATCTCCAGATTGAAAACGGCCGATTTTCGTGAATATTAATTGATAAAATAGTTGTAGTTTACGATACAATAAAGTCACTAATGAAGTTTTAGAGTTGCGTTAATAAGTTAATAAAAAAAGTCCAGCACGGCGGAATGGCACATTTTTATCATATTATATTATATTACATTACACTTTGATATTCAGTATCAAATGAATTTTAAGTAGATGTGAAAAGATTTGGCTAGTAAAGTTATAATTATAGATTAAAGTCCCGGCATATCTCCGCTCTGTACCAGCTTGCTGTATAAAGGAAGGAGAAACCATAGAAGGAGTTTTCAGATAGTTCAATGACTCATTTTTTTTTTTAGATTTAATTTCTATAATGGAATTCACCTATATAAAATGTGAACATCGATATCTGTAAGCGTGATGGTATCGGACCCTCACACAACGACAAAGAAAAATTTTGGGGTTCATCCATAGAATGGCTCTATTGCGTGTCACCAGAATATCTAGGACAACGTCGCATGAAGCAATTGAGGTCCTGCGAGAAGATGTAACTAATAAACAAAGGTTCAAGAAAGAAGACATGGCAGGAGTTCCAGAAAATTTTTGGGTGAGAATTGTGGAAAGTTCCAACAAATGGAAGAAGATAATCCTTGAAGATACGAGGAATGGTGACGACGGTGGATAGCAACATCGAAAAGGAATAGCACCGGCACTGCATTCGAAACAATAAGGACAAGAATGATGAGAACCCCGGGAATTCACATCCTAACAGAGGATGAATTTCCTGTGTTGGTAAGTAAGGAAAACTTCACGCGGTTCAAGAAATTCATTTATTGCTGGAAGGAGGCAGTAGCCCACTTCAACATTTGAGCACAGAGAAGAGGATAAGCACCAAGAAGACTACCGGAAGACACCACCCTTGATCAGAAGTCACCGAAAATAGAAACTTGTATACTGTTCACTTGCAACAGCGTGTTGTAAAGAAGTCGTGCATAACATCCCACTACTGCAAACTACCGTATAGCCTATTAGGCAAGGGAGACTGGCAAATAAATAAACACTGAATTTCCAGCTAATCAAAAATTATTTCATAAATAGAATATATATAAAACTAGATGTCAAAACTGAAACTGAAAAATTTTTTTCTTCTAAATCAATATGGATCTCATAATATGGATAAGGTTTTCGAGTTCACTACGCAAATGATTGATGTCAGCAATTTATTGGCTAAGAAACTTAACCTTTATTTGTTAGGATTTTTCTCATAACTTTTATTTTCGATCAGTACGAGTAGAGCTTTTATTTTCTATCCCTTTCGAATTATCCTCTATTAAGGTTGTAAGGAAATTTTATGTAATTAACTTAAATTAAATACTGATAAAATAAAAATAAATCTGATGACCCAATTTAAATTAGTAGCATACAAAAGTAAACATCACTTGTATAAACAGCCCCTCCCAAAAATTTTATTTAATTAAATTACATATATAAGTATAACAATACTAATATATAAAAATAACAAAGTCCTTCCACTTTGATATTTGTATATATATATATATATATATATAAAATTTAATTAAATAAACTTTTTGGGGGATTAGAAAAAAAAAGCTTTTTTTTTTTTCTTACCCTCCAAAATGTTTATTGAAACAATTACATATATAGTATACAATAATACAATATATACATGCAATAAATTCCTTCCACTGCCCGAGGGCATAAAAAAAAAAAAAAAAACTTATTTAGAACTTTTATTTTAAAACTTTGTAACAAGACAGTTCCATCAAGACTGTTGAACATTATTGTTTTTAAAAAATGTTTCAACCTTTTATGATTTAAAGTAATTCAATGTTTCCTCCTAAAAAAATATTTGTCAGGTTTCATTTATATTTTGTTAATATTTGATATATTTTTAATAGAGGATTAATAATTGACTGTTTTTTTAGATGTATTGAAGATAAGTTGGTTGGGGTGTTCAGTCAAACAAGGAACGAAGTAAAAATAAATACATATAATTTATTTATTTTTACTCCGTTCCTTGTTTGACTGAATACCCCAACCAACTTATCTTCAATTAATTTATTTTTGTTCGTAGTGATAAAACCTAACACCATCGACGGCTATATATTTACTTTAGAATTTATAGTGTTTTGAAAAAAAAAATACATAGTGTTCCACAAGAACGAAATACCTTTTGTTTTTATTTGCCACATGAAGGCTGCCACCCCAAAGAATGGAATCAGTGGAGGACCAGGCAAGTTGGATCGCCTGATCCACGATTTGGCCATCAGGCCCAAGAGAAGAACCAGGATCACGGAGACCAATACCAGGGCGACGCTCATCATTACCGACTATCAATTCCTACCTAACTATATATGTGCGTGTATTTTCTCTCCCCACCACTATACATGAACATTACACCTGACACGAATTGAAACAAGGACTCAATTAGAACGGAGACTTTTGATACCATAATACAGGAAATAGCAATATTTTTACTAAATAGCAATATATTTTATACATTCACTTACTAACGTAGGTGTTAAGGTGAATTATTGTAATCGTGAAAAATATCAAATCAGGATTCGCTACGAAAATATTGGGTTGTCCAGAAATTAATGCAGATTCTAAAATAAAACGAAATTATTTTTATTAATGAAATTAGTCTCGATACATTTATGCCAACATGTTGATATTTTTTTCATACCATTTGAATAAAATTTTGAAACTTTATTATTAGAAAATACTGAAAATACATCTTTTAACTCACTTTGATCAATAAATTTTTAAAAAGTGGCAGATGTCAAACTGGTAGTCGGCAGGGTAGCATAGAGCATTCTCTAAGTTTGTTTAATCCCATTCGACTTCTTAAAAAAAAAGCCTCAGTTTAGTTATTTGTTTCAAAGAAGACACATGGCTGTATTCTACGAATTTGAGCTTCCTTAAATTCGTACAATATGATTAATTAATGCAGGTTCTGAAAAAAAACAAAATTATTTTTATTAATGAAATTATTCCCCATACATTTCTACCTACGTGTTGGTAACTTTTTCATACCGTTTAAATAAAGTTTTGAAACGTTATTACTAGAAAATACATTGTTTAACTCACTTTGATCAATAAAATTTTGAAAAGTGGTAGATATCAAACTGGGAGTTGGCAAGGGAGAGGCTATGGTTTGTTATGTTTGTTTCTGTTTCAACAAACATGTGCAGCGGAGACTTCTTTTAATGCATGCATGAGTTTGAAGTTTTTTTACCTCACCAGTGGAGTTAATGTGGTCAGCGATGGTCAATTCGCTGAGAGTTTCTTTGGAAGTATTCGGACAGCTGATCTGGAATTATATTCGAAGATAGCTCGCAGAACATCGTCATCAAAGGAAAAAGTTCTTCCATGATCGTTCGTTGTCTTCAAGGCTGAATTTCCCTTCTCGACGTTTTTGAACTAACGTTGAACGGAGCTATCTCTATAGATCTCAATAACGTATTTGAACTTTTAGGCCTAGCTTAAACTCATAAAACGAAAATCAGGCTTTGGCATTTTATTAAAGACTGTCGATTAAAATCGATTTTGACAAAAAAAAGCCAAACATCACTGAAGCATACCTACTAAAATATACATAATTTCAGTTTCGAACGAATTTACGTTTTTGAGATAGTTTATTCTCATACACAGGCTATTTTTGGAGACTTGGTTATTTGGGCTAAGCGGACCTTAAAGATTGTATTAGGTTATCTGGAAAATAATGCAGAATTTAATGTTTTGCATTGATGTTATATATTAATTCTTTACATAACAAATTGTTTATGTCTGAGGAATATTTCTTTCGTATATTTCTCAACATTTATTAGTCCTGTTCCAAACAAAAATGTTCTTTTATCTTCTGTAGCATTAAACTAGTCGGAAACAATTCAGTCTTTAATAAAATGTAAAAGCCTGATTTTCGTTTTATGAGTTTAAGCTGGACCTAAAAGTTCAAAAACGTTATTGAGATCTGGAGTGATAGCTCCGTTCAAAGTTAGTTCAAAAAAGTATAATTCCAAAAAAAAAAAAGAATACTTCCAAAGAAACTCTCAGTTAGCAAATTGACCATCGCTGACCACATCAACTCCACTGGTGAAGTAAAAAAACTTCAAACTCATGCATGCATTGAATGAAGTTTCCTCTGCACATATTTGTTGAAACAGAAACAAACATAACAAACCATAGCCTCTCCCTTGCCGACTCCCAGTTTGATATCTACCACTTTTCAAAATTTTATTGATCAATGTGAGTTAAAAAATGTATTTTCAGTATTTTCTAGTAATGTTCAGTAGTTTCAAAACTTTATTTAAATGGTATGAAAAAGTTACCAACACGCAGGCAGAAATGTATCGAGAATAATTTCATTAATAAAAATAATATTGTTTCATTTTAGAACCTGCATTAATTAATCATATTGCACGAATTTAAGGAAGCTTAAATTCGTAGAATACGGTCATGTTTCTTCTAAGGTGTGAATTTACTACTTTATTGTGTATTTATTTTATTTCTTTAAAAATTGTATCACATTAACATTTTGGGATTCGTCTCCATTATTCCAGCTCTGCCGAAATTATACTGTATGAATGTGAAATTTCAGGACATTACAATAGCGAATGATGAGCCTAGACTGGCACTCTTACTTTCTATCTTTTACCTTTACTTTCATATCTAATAAGAATATGACGTTCGAACTTTTTTGGTTTATTGAAGTGGCTCTTCAAAATTAGATCTTTTATTTCATATGAATAGGGCAGCTTTAACCTATTATCATTAGTAATGCTTTATGATTGTGAAGTTGGATAGAGGAATCGGCTCCATCTTGAAATCTTATTATATTATTTATTATACCAGGCTGTAATATAAAATAGCCAGCCAGACCTCCTGCAATTGTTCTGTACAAAATACGGAATTATATCTATCTATGTGAATGCGAAGCTCTTGGCTTTTACAGATTGCAATAGCTAATACTGGCAATAATAAAACCTAAAAGTATTGCTAGATGCAACCCTTGCGGAATTAATTGCTTTCTGAGAAGGATTTTTTTGGGGGTTTTCTAAGTGAAAAGATCCTCGAGGTTCAGGATGAGGAAGGGCTTTTTATCCCTTAATATAATAATGACCAAAATACTAATCAACGCAATTTATAAATTCTGATATCTTAAACTTACTGGAGAAAAAACTGGTGGTGGCGAGAGATGGTAGATAAAATTCGTGATACAGCCTTCATTTTCTTGAAGATACATAGAAAATACAAACATTGGCGATATGTGTATTTCGTGTATGATGTATAGGTTTCCTCAAAACGGCAATTTTTGAGTTGCCCCATCGTTCCTGCCGAGAGGCGATATATCGACATAGAGAAAAACACAATTATAAATAAAAACCTATTTAACGTTTTTCGGTATAGCAGTCAAGATCACGTGTCCTTTAAACACATAATAAATTGTCTGTTTTAAAAAAAAATTTTAATTTTAAATTTTATATATACGTACGTCTGTAGTCTTGAGTTAGTTAATCTTTATTCTATTCACCTTGAACCTGGACTCAGTAACAAAATTAGAACTTACACTGCTCTTCAAAATTCTCATTACATATGGTTTTAGGTCATACATGGCTAATTAACTGTTATCATATTTATGGTTTGCTGATATTTAGCTCTATTTCCTTAACAGTTGTAATTTAAGCAATAATGTCCAATAATCTATTATGTTTTTTTTTTTAAGTTTCTCACGATCCTTTTTAGGTGTTCGATCAATCATTAACATACAACGGAACCGTCTAAATGATTATTTCGAGAGATTGGTCAGAGAAATTATTGTTCAAAATTAATCTGAAGTCTACCATAACCATAATCTTTGATTTAAAACCATACTATTAACATGGTATTTGAAAAAAAAATGTAAACAATTATTGTAGTGATTCTCAATATAATTGACATAAATTAGAAAAAAGTAAAACATTAGTGTATTTTAAATATCTAGCTAATTCTCAGTTTCAAAACAAGTTTATTAATATTCATAACAAAAATTATTCTTGGCCTACATTTTTACTTTCATTTACATGTTATGAAATATATATTAAGGGAAAGTATGAAGATCGAGAAAAATTTCGAATCCGAGTTTTCAACAGAAATACATGTTTTTTGGTAATCTGAGATCAAACAACGAAGTCTAGCAAAATGGTCTGTGTGTGAATTTTCGTGCGCGCACACGGTCGTGTAAGTAGATGCGTCTGTGTGGGTTTGTATTTTGTGTATGAGTTTAAATACGAAAAGTTGTACGAAACTGAAATTTCTTATTCAAGGTGTGTGCATTTCTGAGATGATACAGACACTACAATTTTCTCAAAAAGGGCTCCCTTCATTTTTATTTATAAAAAATAATAATAAAATAACTGATAATATTCGCTTATTCATGGATTAAATATATACATACAAATACTCTAATGGAACATCCCATGAATACAAAAGAATCCACATTTGTACATTTTCTATTTCTATAGTCTCAGTTAAATTATTATGAAATAAATCAAATCTGACATAACGAAAATCATGATTCATCGTCAGAAACATGTGTGCCCTTGATCTATAAGATACCTAAATATATATAATGGCTTCCGCTGTTTTCCATTCTGAGCACAAAATTTGTTATAGCACAAATGCAAAGCTTCCCTCTTTCCAGTTATAAAAAAAAAAAAAAAGATAGAGAACGAAACATTACAGTTCCTTCAAGATTTTAAAATACTTACTGCTACATATCTATCATGATTTTAAGAATTCTATAACCATGGCCTGACAGCAACTTTCAATATGTAAAATCTATTTTCTGACATTCTATGAACTCGCAACTAAGTATAAATAGGCAGCACTCACAAAACGATTGCTTTGCAGTTATTATTTAATTCACAGAATAATTTATTATAAGTAACAAGATTATAATAATTATGATCAGAGTATATTAATGATAGTATATATCAGTTGAAATTTTTCATTACATTAATTATATTTGATGCCACTACATATTCTCAAACCACTACATATTCTCAAACCCAAACTTGCTTTTCATATAAGTGAACATTACAACATTAATTTTGTTAGCAAAATTTTAATTGTATTGCATATTTTTGTTAGTTTATCAATTATTTTTTATGATATGGAAGTGAAAAGCAATAATTAATTATTACTCACAAGTAACTGTCTATAGTATAGATAGATAGATATTTTATTTGTTTTTTTTTTAGGGGGGGGGGGTTCCTAGCTTGGCTATTGTAGAATAATGTGGTTTTACAAGTTACATACATATCATTTAAATATAAATAAAATTTACAATATTTTACGTTTAGAATGGGTTTTACAAAACATGAATAACAATAAAAACATAAAACGATTACTGCATAATAATAGTTATATAAACCTGTTACTATGATAAAAATAATAAAAATAAAAATATTTATGTATATAAACAAAATATTACTTTTAAGATAAACTAAAAACTAACACTTTGCATAGATTCTGATATGTTCTGGGTTTATAACTCTTAATTGACTAACACATCTCAATTTCTTTATATGGACTTTGAATGTAAGGTACGTTTCGGGATCGGGAGTATTGTAACTGTATATGATTCTGTATAAAGGGTAGTTAGTTGAGTTTAAAGTTCTTTGTATGTCGGCTGAGAAATAATGGTCGTGTGTTTTTTCCAGGATGTCGTATTCGTATCTAAGAAGTCCGTTTGTGTGGTGAACAGAAAGCTCTTCTACAGAGGCATTAAGCTCGGCTATTACTCTAAATTGAAGTCTATGTCAGGCTTACCGTTGTCTAATGATTTAAATCTATTAAAAAAAAGTTTTAGGAGTCGCTCTTCTGGCATGAACTCGAGCTTTAATAGACTATAATATTTAAAAACCAAAAATTGATGACGTCTACATATTTTTTCATTCTACTTCATAATATTCAAGCACTCAACTTGCTTAAGAATCATGTCTATGAATAGAACAGATTTTTATGATTTTATGGATAGTACCTAGATCTGTTCTTCTCTTCTTAATACGTGATTTCATAAAGTTAAGTATTCATGTTATTGATTACTATTAATTATTCTATACAAGTTGGATTAATACAAGTTGTTATTCTACACTAATTGTTTTATATTACACAACATCAATATTATAAATAATAATATAAAATAAAATAAATACATTCACATTATCACTTTAATTTTTAAGAATGTACAATTATTGTTTCATTTCCAATCCTCAATAATAACCAAGATTTAAAATTAAACCAAATAAATAAGATTGGCATTAGAAGGGTTATGAAGATTTTTTCAAGATAGACTTGTTAGTTAACAGGATCTAATTGTTTAAGTATAAAATAATACTATCTTTACAAATTAAATTAAACTATTTATATTAAGAATGGGAAGCTTTAGTATTGTCCCTGGGAAGAACTTTGACCAACAAACCCCCACAAGGTTTCAGTGTAATGCCAAATTCCAAAACTATTGAAGTCGTGACCGGCTCTAGCCAGCAGTTCCTCACTACCGTTGAAAGCAATGTCTTCAATACCATCATTGCATATTTATGTCCTGTAAAAATAACCAAAATTACTTTAAAACACTACAACATAACAAGGCTGAGGTCAAAAATTATTTAAACATTCGTATTGTAATCAGATACTGAATTCAAATAGATTATGAAAAAACCTAAATGTGAAAAAAATACTTTTAATATTTCTTATTTTATCTTCAATATTGTACTATAATTGTTAAAGTGTCGTATATGTTTAAAGGAGAGAACCCATTAAAAGCTACTATATAATTATCATACTATTATTAATTATTAATATCTGATAGGAAAACAATGCAATCCTTTGATAACTTCTCAGAATATACTTATTATTCAATCATTTATCTATTACTTTCCTACCTATACTAGGTAAGGAAAGTATTGCAATCGGGTCAAATTTCCGACATGCGGTTTTCGACGGATCTATACGTTTCAGAGCCCCCTGAGTCCGAAAAACACATTTTTAGCCATTGGTCTGTCTGTCTGTGCCAAGATTTTCTCGGGAACTACTAAACCGATTTTGTTACTTCTTTTTTTATTTTGTAGGGTTTTGACTACTGATGCCTGTGGCAAAAATTCGGTGCTCCATGTGCAATAAATGAAAAACTTATTTTTCTAAAGACTGTAGCGCAAAAACGGCTCTAACGATTTTGATGAAACTTTCCTATAATGTTCTAATCATTGTTCTTTCAATTTTCGTACATGTACTAAATTCCTGGAAAAAAAAGTTATAAAGAAAAGAAAAATTTTATGGGGCCTAACTCCCTATTTATATATTATACGGTAAAATAACTATAACTTTTGAAAGGTAATAAAATTCCCTACACAGCCATATAAAAATTGTTCATTTTGGACAACTGTTAACGAAGTTACAGCTATTCAATTTCCAATGTAAGATTACGATTTCATATCCTGGTATCAGAAAGAGGTTGATGAGAGAATAAAATGACTAACTGAAAGTAAGAAAATCACGATCTTCACTATTTCCTCTATTTTAACAGAAATTATTGTTTGACAATACTAAGCTATGGCAAAAAGTTTTTGATCAGCAATATTAGGAAGTAGTGAAATTTTTACACTGATCTACCTTAAGCCGGTTTACATTGTTTAGTTTATCAAATAAATCGTACTCAAATCTTATGTTTGATCAATTTTCATGAAAATGTATCTTGTTCAATTCTTTTTTGTTTCTTCATGAACATATGTAAAGATATAAAAACTTTTCTGAAATAGGTAGGAAAGTCGTGTGAGTTTACACACCAGATATTTTTTACTTTTACTTATATATTTCAACGGAAATATTTGTTTTTAGGTCATCTGAGTCCAAATATCCAAGTCCCGCAAAATGATCTTTTCTGAGTGTGTCTCTGGGTGCGTGCGTGTGTATATGAACAGCCTAGAACGAAAAATCATATGAAACTGATATTACGTATTTAGGATAGGCATATGCCAGGGATGGTAGAGCATACTTTATCATTGGCTTACCGAAAGTGACACTTCATAACACTTTGTCAACTTTTTAAAATTCTCAAAAATGACTCTAATGACTTTAATTATTCCTTCCATGGAGGCTACGCTTATGGCCGGAATGGCAATGGGAGTATATCACTTCACAGTATACTTAGAATATACCGGAAGCAGGTGAACTGATAGAAGAATTTTCAATGGACTGGATTCAATGAATTTTATTAGTCTATTACTGCATAATGGCAAATTTACTATCTATGATCTACGCCTGGCGAATGCTTTGTTGTCAAAATGCAAGAAAGGGAATAATAAATGAATAAATAGAAATGAAAGTTTAAGCTAAATTATAAAGAAGAAGGAGTTCATATTATGCCTCTGGCTTGATAATGGAACTGAGAAAAGAGACGAACCTCTGGATATCAATAGAGAAGTAGTAACGAAATCTAAGATTCATCCACTTCCATTTCTTCTCATATAAGAATACGGCTATTCATGAATTACGGAATGGACTTAATCCATAACATCTATTAATATTAACTTTTATTTAATTTAATCATTTAATCATTCATTGAGCTTTCTCATGACTTTTCTAGTGCTTTGATACTAGATAGCCAGGTCAAGCTATCTCTGATTGTTTAGAAATAGTTATCTAGAATGTACTGACTGGACAGAAAACACTTATCAAGACTTAGGGAACAATAACCGTTTTCAACAAATGAGCACTTTCTCACAGACTTCATATCAATTCTAAAAGATAAGGATATCAATTCTTAACTTCATTCACACGCTTCCTAGACCGTCCAGAATTGATTCATCCTCCCTACTATTCTTGAGCATATAACCCCTATGATCCTCAGATCAAATCACTCATGTAGTTTATTCTCTTGATGTCTCTTACTGCAGGAGACCTGGAGTGAACTTATGTAGTCAACTCATATATCCATAGTATATTATTCTGTATTTTAGATGCCATTTGTAACATTATGAATTAAACCACTATTTATAAAGTCTCCACTGTCTCCGATTCGTTAACTATGGGGGATGTAACTACTGCACCCGATGGTATAATGGAAGCAAAACCAAGGCTTGAACCGTTGCGTCGGCGAGAGGTTTGATAGTATGGAAATGGCACCCAATGACAGTGGGTCACACATAACCCAAGAACCTCAACCTAAGTCCGTAGAACATCTTAAAACCAAGCATGGTCTCGTGAACGATCTCACATTGTAATGATCCCCGTTCTCCTTGTATGGTTCTCCAGCCAATTTGATGGAATCTGAGATAAAATAGACAAAATATCTTCAGCTAACCTCTGAGTTCTTGTGTTCACTTATTTTCTAGGCTGCAGGTACTTGTCTTAAATACCGAATTGAAATAATTCTTGTTTTAGGTAAGATTTAATATTTGTTTTGTAATTAAGTATTTTGTTGATGTATAATGATTACTAATTAATAGAACTTGTTTTAAAATCCTTTCATTGAATAATAAAAATAATTAGACGTAGACAATCTATTTTGGAAAAGGATCGTTTTTTTAATTTAAATTGTTTTTTAATTCATTTATTTTTGCATCAACAATATTTAAAAAAATAATTGTATATTTGGACTATTTCAATACATATTTTAAAATTTGTAATGCATGCTATAATTTTTTAGTGTTTATAAAAATCTGGTCTCCCCTAATTAAGAGGGTAACGATCCTGAGGGGACCTGCCGTACCGGGAAGTAGGGACCAGGATTCGATCCTATGATCTTGACTTCAATAAAGTATTATTTTAAATTAATCTATATTTTTTATCAACATTATTAAAACAATAATTGTATATTTATACCATTTTAGTGCATATTTCAAACCTGACATTCAAACCACAGCCTTAACACTACATACCAAACATCACACAATAACAATAGCTTCAGTATATTGTTCTCCGAGGTACGTATTAATACCTCCGATGTTTTGCAATTATTTTCGAAGCCTTGGGCGTTGCTTTATAGTAAGCGGTGACTTTAACGCAAAGCACCAATTTTGGAGGTCACGGCTGTGCACACCAAGAGGGAGAAATCTGAGGGCTGCTATCCACTAGCTTTCATTAGACACTATAACACTTCATACACCGACATATTGGCCGACTTCACAACGTAAATCTCCAGACCTATTAGACTTGTTTATAACCAAAGGACTACGCACCATACCTTACACCATAAATACGAGGGGCCCACACATCAAACTGAAACGAAAAACTTTGAACAAGCGACTGAAAATACTATACTCAATTTTTCCCAAATCAAAATTGAAAATTAGACAAAAACTAAATACATACACTTACCTGTTCAAACCCATTTGGACATACGCCTCAAAAATTTACGGTTCAGCAAAAAAGACTCACTTACAAAAACTACAATCTTTTCGATCTAAAATTTTAAGACTAATAACTGCAGCCCCCTGGTATGTCAACAACTGGAGTTTACATACCGACCTAAGACAACCAACCATTGACCAGAACATACGTACTCTCTACTCCCAATTTCATCTTAAACTACACGGACATCACAATGGACTTATCAACGACATGGTCACGGCTGAAATGTTCATCAGGAGGTGACTGAAAAGGAGCTGGATGAGTGATCTTCTTTCCTGATTTCAGGATGTAAACAGATCAGGGAAGAGGTCCTGCTGGGCTCCATTCTTCGTCATGCCTATCATGCCATTTTCAACTTAACAACAAAACTGCTAATTATCACTACCATGACAGGTGCAGATGAAGAACAAAATAATAATTGTTTTCGTTTATAAACATCTGTTATCGAGTTACCTATGCAATTTCTTGGTCCAGCTGAAAATGGTATGTAAGAAAATGAATGTCTATTAGTTCCTGGAGCGAATCTTTCAGGAATAAACGCATCTGGATTTTTCCAATGTTTTTTTGAACGATGAACTCCGTAAGTAAACACCACTACAGTTTTACCAGCTTTGATGACTCTATTTTCATCTACAATAAATAAAAATAAATTATATTTTATTTTATACATTTTTACTATATTTTTTTTATATTTATATTTATTATATTTAGGAACCTATTTGCAGATCTTCATTCAGTAATCGTGAATAAAGTGGTATAATTGGATATAACCTCAAAGTTTCCTTGATCACCATCTCCAAGTAAACCATTTTGTTGAGATCTTGGATGGTTGGTATTCTTTTGTCATTTCCAAATATTCCTATTTGTTCATCATATACCTTTTCCTGGAATCAATGATTTTAATCAAAATTCTGTATATTTATGGGTACAACATGAATAAAAATGAACCTTATGACAGTAATCAACATGAATCTATTTATTTATGTTTTTAAAGTGAATTATCTAATATATGAAAATTTTTTAAGAAATTGTTCTAACATGCTAACACCCTTCATCAAATTTTAACTTTTTAGAGAATAATTTGGTATTTTGTAGAAGTTAGTTTAGTTAATTTTCATAGGATTGTTAAACATACTTTCCAACTAGTTAAATCTCTTTTGTGTACATTCATATTTTATTAATATCACCTCAAAAACTAATAAAACACATGTAATCAAAAAGATTTTTACAGATCATTCCGTTCATTGTTGATTTTAAAAAAAATTTACTCTCGCTTCACTTAAGTGATTATTGATGTATGAGTGCTCGTTCTCTCGAGACTTCTCAAATCCATATATTTTGATTTTACATCGTCTGCTATTCTCCTGAGCAGGTCTTAAAACAATAAGTTAGTTTTTATATATAATCACTTCCAGTATGATCAAACCTTTTATTTTTGTATGTTATTTCTAAACTAATATTTTCTATCATGAAAATTTGCAATCAAAAGTTTTATAGAATATTTATTTTTAATGATATTTACTAAAAATTTCTTTCAAAGCAATTAATTTTGTCAAAAATTAAATTAGAAAAAAACGATAGGGCAGTAGATATTAAATATGATGATAAAACAATTTATTCTATACAATTGTTTCTCAATTTTTATAAATAATTATTAAACTTTTATTTAGAGTTTTTTATATAACTTTTTTTTTACAAAACGGTTATATCGGGAGAGTTAAAATGTAACTTTTTAAAAAAGTTCTATAAAAGTTGAAAATATCTGCTAACAGCCACACAGGCATTTTCTCTTTATTTATACTTTGTTCTAAAGGGGTAACAGTCCCAGCATGATAAAAAAATATTTTTATTTCATATTAGTGGAAACATACCTGAACATCTGGATGGTTGGCTAGTAAAAAGTATGCAAACGTCATAGCTGATGCAGTTGTATGATGACCCTAGAAGAGCATTGTTTATTATTTTTTTTAAATGATGTTTGTATTTGAAATATATAACATAACTTTTGGTAGGGGTTTCGTTCTTTGAAAATGTAAATAACAATCGATTTTTCTGTTATGTTAAATTAAATTAATCAACCGAGGTGAGAATCGAAACCACAACATTCAGAACCGGGCAATCTAGGACCCATGGCGCAACATGCTCGATCATCCCATATTCTATTAGTTATGTAGTCATGTATCGTATTTTTTTAATATGCTAACTTTCAGGAAGTCTGAATTTTCAATTTTTTTTTTATTTGGAAAATTTTAAAACTTAGCCAGTCCATATTAGACCACTTATTAGACCACTCCCCAATCATAGTTTAGTTTTTTAAACACATGCAATTACCGCTATCATGAAAGTGTCTACTTCTTCCATCATATCAGATTCTGTGAACAAACCTGGATGGGAGTCTTCTAACTCCAGTAATAAATCCAAGAATGCTTTTCTTCGATCTGTAACATTAAATTTTATAAATCAAAAATATTGTTTATCATAATTAAATTTCATAAATATTACTTTAATAATATTAAAATTATTCACCTTATAATATTAAAATTAGAGCCTTTCATTTTGGTCATAGAAGAATGCTTCCTGTCTAGTTCACTATTCTGGCCTTAGCATAAAGGAGGAAAGAACCTCCAGTTTAACCTACATCAATGGCGGATCTACAGGGTAGGAGGAGGAGGGCTTTCTCCCAAAATGGTTAAATATAACCATGCTTTATGAAAAATTTTCATTTTTCACTTTCAAAAATTTTTTTTTTTTTTTACATCCTGTTCATCCAAGTCTTTATGACCCCCTCCTCCTCCCCACGAGGGGAAGTAGGGCCGGGAATCGATCTTATGATGTTTAATTACATTTAATAGTACTTAAAGAATCCCTTAAACTATTTCATATAGATAGTTAGTTCCTTTCTTTTTCTTCTTAAGTAATTCTCGTTATATATTTTTTTTAAAAATCTTAGGGGCTGAAGCCCCCCAAAACTAAATCCTGGATCCGCTAGTGACCTACATGGCCCATGCTCTTTAAACTACCAGATTAGCTCACTTAAAGGGAAAATGGTGGAGAGGAATCGAGCTCTGACGTAACCACTAGACCGATATTACCCCTCCGGCACTTGTTTCTGGACGTTAGAAGATTATTATTTACCTTTCTACATGAAATCAATACTTTAAGGTATAATAGACTATTAATTTGTAAATATTAATTAATTTAAAAAGAGAGAGAAAGGTTCATTTTCTATTCTGTTTATTCTAAAATAGTTTTTTTTTTCTAAAATATAAAATACCAACATTTTTTTTTTTGATATTTGAAATAAATATAAAACAATGTGAAATAATAAAACTGTAAAAAAAAAAGTATTTATTTACTTATTTATTCCTAACTTAATTAAGCTTTCTCTTTCTATGAATCTTAGGCAGTATGACAAGTCTATGTCATAGATAATCCTACGTATTTTGTTTTCTCAAGTTTTTTGTCTTTGCTCCTCAATTTAACACACTTAATCAGCATTACAATTTTATTGTATTTCTATCTTCTACATTTTCTTTTCTAGGAAAACACTTGTTAATGTTAATATTATAGGATGGAAAAAAATATCAGGATTTTCCGTATAACTTTGCTTATTTTTTAAATTATTTTTTTTTAAAGTTTAGTTTTTTATTTATAGAAATTTTGACTGTAGAAGACTTACAATCTACAAACAAAATTAAACAAAAACTGTTCAACAATGTAGTTTTCTTTCTCTAAATATATATAAATCTTCGTTTTTTTTTTATTTATGTAATATGTAATATGGATACTTTTAAAGATAATATATTCGTATATTATTTACAGTAAATGACTTTGAAATGAAGAATTTAAAAATAATCTTTTCGTGGCAGGTCTAGCCTGCAATTTTCATAGCATTTTATGCTAGATTGCTAATCGTATTTATATATTTATCTACAGGAAATTATCTTTAATGAAACGTCAAGAATATAGAAAAGTATTCTTTTCAATAAATCAAAGAAGAAAAAAAAAAAAAAATAAAGGACAATAACGCTGAAGTAAACTTCAATGATAGGCTTGAAAGAGCAATAGGTAGGTAGGTAGTTTTATAGAGCTTGTACGTTTCCTAAGACATGGACTAAGAGATAAATTTAGGAAAGACAAAAGCCACACGTGTCGAAAGAAGGACCAACCAGGGAGTCATTAGACTGAATGGAACACGAGTTGCACCAGTAAGCTAGTCCAAATTCATGGGAGGCCACTTAAAGGAGAAAGGCTGAGTGGACGGAGATATAAGAGAGAGATTTAAGACAATCGAAAGATTTCGGAAGAAAAGAGGTTCCCAAAACAACAAAGGTAACAGTCTTCAAAAATACATACCTCCCAATCCTGATCCACTCAAGGGAGTGTTGGACCATAACAGGTCAACATAGGGTCGAAGGTAAGACAAGGAGAGACCGAGTGGGGAATTCCACTATCCGATCCAACCAGGGTCTGCAGGATGCAAAGTAAAAAATAGAAGAACACCAGCTAAGGTGGTCCGGACACGTCTGTCGGATGCCACAAGACAGTTTAGCAAGACTCACTTATGTGACGCAGGTGGGAGATAGAAGACTTAGCAGTCGACTTAGGAAGACTTAAAAATAAAGGAGAAAGTAAAATAAAGGAGGCCTTTGACCGAATAGGATTGGATTGGTCGAGAAGAAAGCAATGGGCACAGAAAAGAGAAGTATGGATCAAACTCTACAGGCGGAAGTCGGACACTGCTTAGTTATAGACGAAGATAGATTAAGTGAGTAAGTAAGTACTATTAAAATTATATTATGTTACAGTTATATTATATTACAATGATAGCAATATTAATTTTTTTAATTATTGTAAAAATATTTAAATTGACTAAGTTGTTATAGACGAATCGCTCCATTGATCAATTCTTTCATATAATTTTCTTTATTTGCGTAATGTTACTTTTTAAAACACATAAACATTATCATTACATCATATCATTCTGTCTAGTAATGTGAGAATTCTGATTAGGCTTTTGCAGGGTTTTCATCGCAATCTCTTGTTAGATGTATCGGCTTTCTTTGATTGATACTAGTGTTGCCCAAAATCGGTATTGGTCTTGCATCTTGCAAGACCAAGACCAAGGCTGCCTAACTGTTGCAAGACCAAGACCAGGAATGGTAAAAAAAATCTATTTCAAAATAAAAATTAAGACAAAATATTTACTAATACTTGACAATCTTAGTTACTATATGTTAATAATAGGTATAACTAATGAACTTTTGCATTTAACTCCTCTAATTTTTCATTCGGGCTTAGTTAGGTTTCTCCTCTCTTAAAAATTACAGTAATATCTCTAGAGCAATAAGGTAATAAGTAACTGCAAGACTGTTGCGAGACTCTTGCGCAAGACCGAGACCATGACCAAGACTGAATTTGCAAGACTAAGACTCGTCTCGGCCTCGCATTTGGGCAACACTAGTTGATACTCATTGTACGTTTCTGTGAGTAAATGAAAAATAGTTTTTATGTTTAATACAGGATCTGAAGACATGCTGAGTAAGACATTTTTATACTCAATACTAAATGGTAATTGTTGGAAACGATTGTTGTGTTCATTTTTTGCACATAATTTTACTCTATAAGATGATTGAATAATTAAAAAATTGTATAAAAGATATTAAAGTAATTCAATTTTTAATCAAGATATTATTAATATAAATATCAAACCCAATTTTACCATTTTTTTTGTGGCCATTGTTCTGTGATCCATTTTTTTCAGCTTGGAATAATGCTTTTCTTTGTTCAATAACCTAAAATATTTTTTTTAAATGTTATTAATATTATAAAAAGAAAAAAGTTGTACAATATATCCTTATTCATTTATTTGGTTTCATTTTAAAATGATCTGAACAGCAGCTTATTTGTGAGGAAACGTATTCTTGTTACATTATGTCATATCAGTCTTTAAAGAAGGCTTTCCTTCTGTGACTTAAAATAAATTCTTCTAATTTCCTAGTTTTGAGACTTAACAGTAACCCCTAGAGAGGTAGCAATGTTATTAATAAAAAAATCTGGTACATTCATCACATAACTTTCGCTTACAACTTAGTTCTCGCCTTCTCTTGAAATTTAAAAATTAGAATTTACAAAACCATTATCTTACCTATAGTTCTTTATGGATGTGAAACGTGGCAGCTTACAGCAAGGGATGATCAACGTCTTAAAGTTTTTGAAAATAAAGTATTTCACAGAATATACGGACCGCAAAAGGACGAGTCAACCAGAGAATTTAGGCGGTTACACAACGCTGAATTGCGTAAACGGTATATGGTTAATATTATTGAGGTGATTAAGTTGAGGTGAATAAAATGGGAATGTTAAATCGCTGGGTTCAGATACGAAAGAATTCCTAAAAAAATAATATGCGCTGTACCGAATAGCATTCGTCCGAGGGATAGACCAAAGCGAAGATGGGTAGATTGCGTTAGGGCTGATTTGGCGGGGTTGGGTTTAGACGGAGCCCGGTGGACGGAAGAATGTGCACATCGATTGGATGTATCAGCATCGAACCTTCGGGTTCACTAAGCCTTATAATTATTTATTATTATTATTATTGATGATAATGAGAGAGGATTAATTATTTAAAATAAGTCACGAAGGAATTTCGAACATGTAGCATTTAAGTCCTGTTAAGCCACATAACCAAGCTGGTATTAAAGACCATTTATTTATAAATTGTTATACACCGATTTTAATTAAAATTGTTTGAGCTGTTTTCAAGCAAATTATAGAAATGATTAAATCCATCACATCCAGTACATCCAGTTACCCGATTTTGATGAAAAGGTGTTAACATTCCAAACACGTACCTACAATGAATAATTAATTTCCGTTTCGTTCTTCAGCTATGCTTTTCACATACACACACTTTTGTGGATCTTCGTTATTTGGACTCAACGAATCTCAAAAGGTTTATTTCCGTTAAAAACTGAGTGCATATTACTTACTTACTTACTTTATTTTTATTTGAGTTATAATAAATCAATCAATATAAGGTTGAGACGATTAGAAAAAAAATCAGTTAAATGTTACAAAATAAAAATTTTTATACCTGCTTATCAAAATTGTGAGTAATTTCGACATTTTTAAAAAAAAGTTTACCAGCTCTACAAAGACGAAAAATGAATTCAGGATAATGCCATATCCGAAGATATCTTTCCACTACTCCATCGAGACAACTAAAAAAAAAGGAAGAAGATTATAATATATCTATTTTAATACCCTTACATCTTCTGGAGTCATGCTTTTCTCTCCACAGTTGGAGAGACAAGTCTGACTAATTTATTTCCATTTGATATGTTACTTGGAGCTTTCGCTGCTCTGCACCGTATTCTGTATGAAATGAAATGAAAAAAATAATTTTATTCGGGGACTACAGTCTCCTAAGAATAATAACAGAGTTACGTAAATAAGAACATTAGCCTGGCTTAGATGATTACAAAATGATGCCTAATTAACTGTTGATTGTTATTGTAATTCTACAGTTGATTTAATTAGACTTTCTACAGACGAAAGTGAATTTTACATATTTCAATATGGAGTAGGTGGTGGAACAGGAGGTGTTTGAAGGAATTCGTTGACTAGGATTGACGTATGGAGTTAGGTAGAGAGTTCCAAAAGGAGGAAGCACGAATGACAAAGGATTTGCTGAAAGAAGTAGTTTTGTAGGAGGGATATATAAATCTATAGGTTGATACCTGGTATTGAGAGAGTCGATAGAGAAACGTAAAGTAAGGAGTTCCAAGATGTAGGGAGGGTTTTTGTTTCTGAGGACAAGCAGGAATTGTCGTTGGATAAACCTACTTCAACTCGGTGTACTTAAATGAAACCTGGAAGGGCTTGGTGATCCCCAAGATGTAGCTTATTTCTAAGGGTATGAATTCCCTGACAGAAATCCCTCCATACACCAAGCAGCCAAAGTCGAAGTGGTGGAATATAAAGGAGATTGCAAGGATCTATTTCATTTCTAGAGGAATACAATCACGGAATCTCAGGAGTTGTTTGAGGACAGTTATGGATTATCAGGTAATCTGGGAGATATGGTTATTCCAAGGAGACGTTCTGGTCAAAGTTTACTCCTAGATTTTTTACTGTAAACTAGAAAAAAATAGTGTAATAGAAATAGTTTTTATTATAATCTGTTCAAATTGTTAATTATGTATGTTCTATTGGCAATAAGAATTATTTATAATATTACTTACTATTGATGAAGAGAAGAAAGTAATATTACAAATAATTCTTCAAGAAGAGCAAAATTATATTGTACAGAGGATGGAGAAAAAAAACAACTTCACGACTTTCTTGCAAAGACGTTCCTGTTTAAAAATAATTTTTCCAATTTTTTTCTGTCACAGGTAGGAGTAAAATCGAACCATTATTAATCAACTATACAGTATTAAATGGATTACTTTTAGATTATTAAAAAAATATAAATCTATTTATTCTAACTTCTGTGGCTGTAGTGCCCTCTTTCAGTCTCCACTGGCTTCTAATACTAGTGATGCGGCTGGAAAAGTGGCACTGGGATCTTCCGGAGTCTTGCTTTGCCTTCCGCGTGTGGGGGGAAAAGCCTGGCTCGGAGATTCTTGGGTGAATGTATATATTGTATATAGTTATGATTGTGTTTAGAAGTTTTTATTTTATTTGTTTATTTTTATTTATTTTTTTATTTACCTTCTTCATCAGTATTATTTATTTACTTCTTATATTTATATTTATTTCTTTATTATTTGTATATATTGTATGAATGAGAACTTTTAGCCTTAATGCTTATAGCCCTCCAGCAGTGGCTGATTGTATTATTATTCAATAAATAGATTTAAAAAAAAAGAAAAAAAAGTTATTCTAACTTACATTTTCGTAGCTTTTATGTATTCATTCTGCTTCTCGTCTTTAGTATTCAGTTGAACACCCATTGCTGTTTCTATAATATCAGTATTGTGTCAATTATATATATGTATATACAAATGCGGATAGTTTCATCAATATCTATCCGAGGTGCATAGATTTTAGAAATAAAACTTATGTTCAGTTCATTGATTGGATTTTCTTACCACACAGTATTTTAAGAGTCGTTATTAAAATAATGTCATCTACTTTAACCGGTTTCCCATCATAGGCAAGTAAAATAGAAACATGAGCCTCTGCATTTTGGCTTATACTTTGTAATGATGATTCCAGAATCTTAATGTGAAAACTTGGGGTTAGTAATTTCCTCCGCGATCGCCACTTGTCACCTGTTAAATAAAACATTGCTATAAATAAAAAAATATTTAGTACTTTTTTTCCACCCCTTCCTCACCTTTTAGGCTATACTTTTTTTTTTATCCAGTCCAGGAGGTGAGACCGAGGGATCAATGGAACAGTTGAAAGACCACGGTACCGGGACGCGAACACGTGATTATTTTATCGGATTATCTTCGATCGGGCCACCCCGCTCCAAATGTTCATTGATTAAATAATCCAGCTGATGCGAAAGGCTGAGTTCTCACCTTGTCTCCCAGTATTGACCTATTTTTTAGAAGAATCTCCGTGATTATTCGCTCAATACAGTTCAAGTATACATCATAACAGTTGCTATTTACTGTGTTTACTGTCATAACATTTAATTTTTAATTTTGTTTTTTTATTTCTACAGTGATATGTGGTATCAAGTAATGTCCAGTAAGGCGCCTACTAAGAGGTCTCAATCAAATGGCTTTACTCCTCGTGGTTCTCAAGTTAGACAAAAGACTCGTCCCAATCTAATGATTCCTCCTGTCACTAAATCAAGGTTTTTAGAATCAGAATCTCATCCCAAACCAGGTAGATCTTCACAATAAATGACCGAAGAATCTCCTTTGTTTACTGCAAATCCGTACCAAGTGCTTCAAAATGACAGAGAAGTGATGTAGTTCAGCAGCAATACCCAGAGCACTTACCCGATATTCGTAAAAAATTTAAGTTATTGTGTACTCAACTAAATAAAATCTGCTGCGGCAGTTACTCATGTATCAACATGACCAATGGCACTAAAATGACATCAGATACTGCTGAAACCTATAGAAAAACTTATTAGAAGCGAAAGCTAATTTCCACTCTGCTATCCAGTTGGGCCGGTGTTTCTCAAGGTAGCGTTTTGGGTCTCGTCCTTTATATCCTGATACCGTCTAGGCAACATTTGCTGATGAGAGCCATTCTATCATCCAACTCAGATCCTAAAATAGTAATCAATCTACTAATCAATCTATTGCATTAAAGTAAACTAAACTAAACGCAAACACATTAACTTTATGCTCCGACGTAGATCCTGTCCACCAGTATAATTTAATTCCATCTAGCGTCCCTTTTTCAGAAACCGTATCAGATTATCTTAGCTTTCTCTTAGTACGAAAATTAACATGAAACCCACATACTAGATTTAAACAACAAGAACTTAACCGAGAAAATGGCCAAGTACACAGATTTTTTTTGCCTTCCACGTGGTCGTTTGCTTTCTATTGAGGCATTCATTACGTAGAGGCTTCCAGATGTATTGCTACGAGCTACATACTCCCCCCATCTTAACCTCCATGTCTTCATACCATGAGATATTGATTGACCAGTTTCTGTAAGCAATTTTTTATTGGTCTTTCTTGGCCATGTATACGTTAGTTCTCTGATCCCAGATCTCTCCGGTTATAGTTTTTCCTCCCAAATTTTTCAACACTTTTTTCTAGGGTACTGGTTAGTGTCCAGGTCTCACAGTCATATATTAGAACTGGCTTTATCATAGCATTGTACGTCCTTAGTTTGAGATTTCTTAAGATTTTTCGGAATTTCAATACCTTTGAGAGGAAGAAGAAAGCTCTGTTTCCTCCCTTTGAATCTCTGGGTTAGGATGTTAACGTCCCCATGCGGGAATGGAACCCGCGCCGTAGTGGTCGATGTAATCGGGTAGCGCTTGCAATTTTTTTTTTTTTTAGTTTTTGCAATTTTTTATATTTATTAATAATTATCTATTTTTTTTTTATTATTTTTTTTTTTTTTTTGTTCCCGCGAATGGCCTGAGAAAATCTCGTACAGCCAAAAGTTAAGGAAGGGAATGACAAAAAAAAAATAAATAAAACTTCTCTCTTCTAAACATCGCAGCATTTGTGATTTATAGTCTCATCACTTTAGATCGAAAAAAAACGCATTATGGGAAATAATTTATTAAGTTTTGTCCCTTTAGCTTTTCTTTTAGGTTCAGGAATGAGAATCAAAATAGTTCCCACCTCTCCACTAACGGATCCAGGACTTAATTTGTGGGAGGCTTCAGCCCGAAAGACTTTTTTTTGTATGTATATATTACGATAATTACTTCGGAAGAAATAAAGGAACTAAGTGCATATATAAAATGGCGTTTAAGTGTTTTTTCAAGTCCTATTAAATGTAATGAGACGAACAATAATGCTTTTAGAGATAATTTTTTTTCATAAAACATTGTTATATTTAACCATTTTGAGAGAGCGGCTATAGCCCGAAAGCTCCTCCATCCCCCATAGTGCCTGTGCACCTCCCTGGTGGCTGAAACATCCCCGATTAGAGGAAAAGTTATGAATATATTTATCATAATATTCTACACTGACAGGCAAAAAAAATCTACCGACTTGATTTTTCCATGTTTTCATCTAAAAATATTTCTGTAAAGTTGTATTTGTATATAATACATGGTATTTGTAGATAATACATAGTATTAGTGGAATTTTATAATCTTTTTTACCTTTAATAATCAAAATGTGATTGGGTAAAAAAGATTAGAGAAAAAAAAATTGAAAAACGACCTATTATTATTCTAAAAGAAATTAATTACATCATCGTTCAGTAGCGCGTGTTTCCTCCTCTTGCCTTAACTACTTCTTGAAGACGCCTCGGCATACTTTCCACCACTCGGGAAATGTCCCTTTGCTGGAGGACAGCCCATTTCTCCCGAAGAGCCCTTTCAAGGTCCTGCAGTGTATCAGGAAGTGTTGCACGCGCTCTTATTCGTCTTCCGAGGTTATCCCATAAATGCTCAATGGGATTGAAATCTGGAGAACGTGCTGGCCAGGCTAAAACCTCAATATTGTTCTGTTGAAGGAACGTCTGCACTATGCGGGCACTATGCGCCGATTTCGTTGAGGATAAGCAACACATGAGGTTCCAAAATCTCATCTACTTAGCGAATGGCCGTCAAAGACCCTCCACGAACAACAACCAATTCTGTGCACCGCTCCATTGAAATCTCAGCCCCCACCATTAAGAAACCACGTCGGAAAGGTTGGCTCTGGGAAAAATTACAGGCTGCATCTCTTTCGGTTCTTCTTCTCCACATCCTTTCACGCCCGGCTGGAGATTGAAGAGCGAATCTTGACTTATCTGTAAAAAGTACAGCACTCCATACGTCCATAGTCCAATGGCTGTGTTCTCGAGCAAAAGCCAGCCGTGTTAATCTGTGAGTTCTGGTCAACTCTGGTCCTCTTACTGGACGAAAAGCCAATAATCCATACTCATTTAATCTTCTCCGAGCGGTACGTTCAGGAATTTGCACACCTCGAACTTCTTCGAGCTGATGAATCGCTTGAACAACGGTAAGGAGCCGGTATCGTAAAATTCTCAAAGTCAAAAACCGGTCATTCCGTGGTTCTGTTACCCTAGGCCGTCCAGAAATGGGCCTTCTATTGTAAGAACCAGTTTCCCGAAAACGCATGACGGCGTCTCGTAAAGTTTCATATGGAACTCCGATGGCATTAGCTGCATATCTAATGAAACGTCCATCATCAAAAAGTGCCACACCACGCGCAACATCCTCAGCACTAAGAGACATTTGCAAACTTAATATTGAAAAAATTAAAAGCAGGAGACTACGAAATGTGCTGCAAGAAAAGGCACTGAACTAATGATACTGAATAAACATTTTGATTCCATGGAAAGTAAACATTTAAATCTAGAATTATTTCATTGAATTAAGGATTAAGGGTTATTGTCCTCTATATTAACATTCCTAATTGAAAACAAACAAAAAGATTACCTATTTATTCATTAAAAACAATAGACCAATCCAAAGCAGAAATATTTTTAGATGAAAACATGAAAAAATCAACTTGGTGGAATTTTTTGCCTGTCAGTGTACATAAAATGTGTTCTATTAATAATTTGACTATTACTTACGGGTTGTGAGTAAACGGCTTTGAAAAGTTAAAACAGTTTGAAGTACTTAGCAAAAATTACTCTAAGGAGGCCTTTGAAAAATGTCTGAAAATTATTTGGTTAGGAATAGAACACATTTTATGCAGTATTTTATGGGAAATATTTTCAATTCAATTCATTATTTCCGTCCGACCAATTGATTCGAAGTTAATTGAAGAAAATAGACACAAATGTCAGATGTAAAGGTGAAAGGGATGGTTTTTCACGAATTAGGGTAAATTTCATCCACCAGACAAGTGAGAACTCTTTTGATTTTTATTCCTGACGTTAAAAAGTAAACCTTCTGTGGAGAGCAAACATTTATAAACTGTTATCCCCCAAAATCCTAAAGGCATGGACTATTACTTTTTAGTGCAAGTTACGTTTGTTTAGTTCCGTTTGCCAGAAATGAAGATCATGATTTTTTTAAGAAAAGGCTTTGAGATCGCTGCTATTGAAGAAGCCCTGGAAATTGAATCGTATCTAATTTTAAAAGAAATTATACTCAATGTCTAAAAATAAGCATGAGGAAGAAGAGAGAAGGATGTTCAAGGTTTGATTGAGGATAAAGCTGTCACCTTAATGTTCTTGGTTTTCAACGTTATATTGTTATTCTTTACAAATAAATATACAATAAAATAAATAATAAAAAACATTCAACTATTCAATTAAGTGGTCATGAATGAATTGATTTAACTCACCATCAGAAACTATAAGTCCATCGTCAAACATAGGCCTGAAGAATGAATACTCGATATAACCCTTAGTAATATTTATAGAATTGGTTAGTACTGGCTGAAAAGAAAATACATTTGAAGTGGTACAATTGACAATTATGGTGGAGGAGGTAATGCTGCAAATGGTACGATTATTATCAAACTATTTTATAAATGTAATATTGTATGAAAATAATTGTTATGTCATCTTTAACAATATTGGTATATTAATAAAAATATTCAATCAATATGGAAATTCTTAAGTAGTTGAAATTTATGTGTGTAATCATTGTTACATTTTTAATGTATTTTTTAAATAAGATAAAAAAAAATTATAAAAATTTTGTATCAATCCGTTAAACGTTCATATAATTTTATAAAATACGATGGTAAAAAAAAATAATTAAATGACAAAATTGACTTGCAAATTTGAAACAATAATGATTATGAGATCATTTGTTTACCATTTACCATTTTATATTCTAGATAAATCTGATCTGAACGAACAACTTCGGTAAATTGGTTGAAAGCCGTTACTTTCTATACCAATAATTTAAATTATAATGGCGAAATCAGAAGTTTCATATAACGTAAGAACTGGCCTCCGGAATGTTTATGTGATGTAAAGAATTCACCTTAACTAAATAAAAATTCACCTTGACTGATACTCGAGTGGGTTTTGAAAACTGACGGCGTCGAAGTCAACAAATTAATACAGTCAAGTGTTAGTTGAATGTGACAAAAAAAGTCGCTTCTCTTCGGTTTTTTAGAATGATGAATCTGAATTTCAAGTTCCAAAGTGAAATTTCCCATTTCTTTTCGAAATATATAAAAAAAAACAGTGAAGACTCTACATTTTTTTTTTTTTCGTTTTTTAGCCATGACTTCGAAACTATGCATTTTATCGAAATGATTATTCTATACAAAGTTAAATAAGAAAAATATACTATAAATTTAATACATGGATTTTTGATGTGAGGCCAATGAGTGAGGATATAAAACAAGTTGGATCCTTATTTATTTGTTTCCTTCAGTTTTCCCTCCAAAACTCATAATCTATGGTTCTCTGGAAGAAATTCATTATGATAAATTTGATAGAGAATTGAATTTCCTATAGACCTCATGTTGACACGTTAAAATCTGAGAAGGTGAGCGGCTGTTAAAGTGCGAAGAATTGAAGGCGAATTCTAGTAGTAATATTGGCCGCTATCAACTTCATCTGATTTTATCATTTCAATTCTTTGGATTTAGCTAATTTAACGATACTAGTTGACGAGAGATCCACACTGATTAGGAGTGGATTACAATCATAACGATCACACTTGGTCAGGGAATGGCGAAAATAATCTTATATTCCCAAATGTCACATCACCTCCTATCTCAACCACCCGTTTCATTTTTCTTACCCCTACTATATAAAGTCCTAATTGTTTACTAAAATCATTTATCAACGAATTATTTAATTAATAATTTTTGTCATTATTATGAACTCTTTTAAAGGTACTTTTAAAGAGGACTTGGACTTAAAAGCGCATTTCAGTCTTTATTTTTTTGTTGATATGAATTTTGATGTCCCTCAAGCCAAAAGAATATATAAAAGCTATATAATTTGTCTATACATTCTAGTTATGTTATAAATTAGCTGAATCAAAAGAATTGAAAAGATAAAAAGTGCTTAAGTTGATTGTCGCCTACAGATCGATATATAATTTTCCAGAAAAGACTTTCACATTAATAAAAATGTCTTTTACCGACAGCAGTAAATAAACAATAATAATTCATTACGTTCACATGATTCATAAGCTAGCACAGTTCCAACCACCAAGGTTGAAACCACAATGAATCATAAAGAAATAATTAGTTTATATGATCTCCTGTAAAACAATCTATTTTTACATACAACCTGTTGCACAAACAATGACGACATGCATGTTCAGTATGCACTGAAATTTTCGTTTAATCACGAATCATCTAATATACAATCTGCAAATGCGGAACTCTTTTGCATTTTGGTATTCGTTGATAGCATTTTAGTATTGGACAAAATTCGTCGATATCAAACCCGTATATGTTGAGAGATTACTGAATTTTCAAAAACGGCTAATCCCAGAGAAAGTCATTCTACATATTTTTTAGCCAACGAAAACGGTGAGAAAGCTACACTGACTTAACTTGGCAGACTTTTTTTTTTTAATTTTCTTTGTTAGTGAATCATTATGAACAACATATTATTTGACTTAGTTATCACTAAATTCATCATGAAAACATTATAAGATATAGCTCATAAATAAAGTTTTTTCCTTGAGATATTTAGCTTCATGCCTCTAGCATTACTAATGTTGTAATATTAATTTTAATATGCACTTACCTCCACCAATTCTGGTTCTGAAACTATTACATATGATGTACCAAGTATTTCAATTTCAAATATTTCTCCATATGCTGTGTACCATCCTTTTATTAAATCTATAATATCTGAAACATAATGAACGAAATAGTAGTTATAAAGAATACATTATGTGAATTTTAAAATCTACAAATTATTGATATAAATACTATAACAACAGCATGTTTATTTAACTATACCTAGTCATGTCATAAATGTTACAAGGAAATACATATAAATCTCAACAGAAAAAATATTTTTTTCAAAAGCTAGATTAGAAAATGAAATGTATATCTATAGAGATAAAAAAAAAAAAGAAATTACCCTAAATGTTTCGATTTTGCCTTGACAGTCATTTGATCTCCCTGGCCAGTCATTAATAGCACCACGCAGCACTTCTTCGAGAAGAGCGCTCAACTGCTCGGACCAGAGATTGTTTCAGGCTTTCCAAGTTAGTGTGCACTGTGTTCCATTCTCTCCGGTTCGGACCAAAGCCGATAATCTAGTGGGTTGGGATCAGGGCTTCCAGAGGGCCAATCCGAGGCAGAGATGAACTCTGGAATGTTCTTTTGCATCCACTGTTGAGTTGACCTGGCCTTGTGACCTGGAGCGGAATCCTGCTGGAAAACCCAATGACTTCTAACAAACAGAGTATCATTTAGAGGCTTGACAACAGGTTCCAAAATATCGCCCTGATAGTTTTTAGCGGCTGTTTTAACTCCTTTTTCACAAAAATGGAACTTTTTGATGCCATCAAATCAAACTCCAAACTAAGGCACAACTGAGGAAGTTTGATGACCTTTTTCACTTTTTCAATGACTTCCTGGGTTTCTTTAGAGCTGTGTGAGTACACACGATAATTTTTGGGATTAAATTTGTCTTCAATCGTAAAATTTTTCTCATCGCTATTCAAAATCTTTCGATGAAGATCATTGGTGTAACGGCCAAGGAGCACATTGTATCTATCCGCTATCATTTTTATTTTTTTTTTAAGGAAATGGTTAGCTTTTGTCCTGTCATTCTTCGAAATGCACCCATCCTAAAGTAACTTTTTATTATAGGAGACATTGATCTGATAGAGATTCCCATTTCCCGAGACATGTTTTGTTATTTTTGAATGGGGTTTCTTCTGATTCGAGCAGCCACTGCTCTCACTTCATTTGCCATTCTCGCAGTGCGGCCCGGTCGAGGTCTATCACATACATATAGGGTCTCATTATATTTATTTATAGTGCAGTACACGAACATACGGCTGGTACTCAAAGGTTTTAAAGTTTTGAAAATCTCTGATCTACATTTTCCAACTTTTTGTCAGGCAATACCAGCTTTTCTTTATCACCTCACTCCATGTTAACTGAGAGAAAGAAAAATACAAACTAATTGGGATTATTATCCTGATATGTAAAGAAAATAACCTGATAGAGGTAAGGATAATCTAAATAATACCCAAGGATATAAACTAAGTTCAACTTTTGTAACGGTATTTATGACAGAACTAGGTAAAAACATGACTATAACAATCGGATTCAATGATTAAAGTCATTGTCATAGAGGATTCAATGTCAAAGCATATGCCTTTCTTCACGAAGTAGGATTTTAATTATCGGATGTCATAATTTATTTATGAACTGTTTTCTTATTTCTGTCCCTAGAATTCATTAACCAATGGACCAGTTAATCTTATTAATGTAGTGATGGTGTAGGATTTCCTGCGTGTCCAAAAGAATAGATTCCGCGATACGCTGTAGATGATTCTTTTTCACAAATATATATTAACGATATAAAAAGTGACTTTTATTTACAATATAAAGTTTGATTGATTGTACGATCCGTGAAAGTTTTAATATTGTGCAGTTGCTATTTAATGTAATCGGAACTATATTACTAACATTAAATCGTTGATTGATTATTAATGTTGACTCCTCAAAGGGACTAAATCTAATATTTGAATCAGTCACATTACGTGAAATTCAATGCAGAACAAAATTTTCACTGGGATGCTCTATTTAAAAGTTAACATTTAGAATATTTAGAAGCCTCCATCCCACCTCTTCCTTAGGTATGGTAGAACGGAGCATACTATTGTTGTATTATAATTAATTAATAATATTCCATTAGATTTAACATAGTCGATAAGCTAAGATAGCAGGTGAGAACTTCAAGTTGCCTAAAATGAAAATATTGAGATTGGATCAGCAAGACCATCGGACATAGCCGAGAGAGACTTCCATGTCTATAAGAAACTATATATTGAGAGTAGTTCAGTGAGTACCATTGAATCTATCCTGAAGGAACTTCCAGTTGTGTGAGATATAACATTGGAAACTACACAGAAAAATATGAAAAAATAAAAAAATTGGATGTTTGCATCTAATAAAGTGAGTAGCCTCATATTTTTAAGTAATGACCTCTAGAAAGACTATGCAAACAGAAAGGCGCAAAAGAAAATACATGGATTCAAATAATTCTCGTCGGAAACGTTCAGCCATTATGAGATGGGCACCTGAGGCGGATTTATGGAAGGGGGCTTTCGGGCTGAAGCCTCAATCCCAAAATGGTAAAATATAACCATGTTTTATGGAAAAATATATTTAAAAAATTACCTGTTAAATTATTATTGTTCTTGTTATTAGATTTAAAGGGACTTAAGGAATCACTTAAACACCATTTCATATAGACAGTTAGTTTCATTCTTTTTTCCAAAGTAATTATCGTCATATTTATGAAAAAAGTAAGCTTTCGGGCTGAAGCCGGCCCCCCCCCAAAAAAAAATTAAATCCTGGATCCGCTAGTGCCTGAGCATTATTACCACAATCCTCTTCTGACGTCATGACGCCTTCAGTAATCAGTGCTGCAGCCAGGTTTACTTTTTCCAACCTCTTTGGAAATCAATTATCTAGGCTCGATACAAAATATCGATTGAGGGGTTAAAGAAAAACAGCTGGAAAAATAGGAGACGCTTTTGTGAGTGAGTGGCAGAAAGAATCACTGTGTTTGTCGCTAACGTGAAGATTGTATAATTTTACCTAGCGGCATAACAAACTTCTGGGCCCATCACGGTATTATTATCTGTTCTGGAGTTTCAATTATTTTCAAGCATCTGTTAATAATTGTATTCCTTTCTTTATAAAACTTTATCTTTGTTCCTCTCTTCATTCTGTAATTAATGTTATTTTCTTTTGTATTTGTGTTTTCTAACTTTGTTACTCAAGCTTTGTATTGTTTTTCTTTTCCAAATCTAAATTGTATAAATCAATTGTTTATGGTTATTGAGTGAACCTACCAGAATCCCTTAAAGCCTTAAGCTGATTAAATTAGAAACATCGATAATGTTAAAAATTACAGCTTAGAAAAAATATGCTGAAAAAAAATATTCAGAAGATAATGTAAATATTGGGAAATAAAATGTGAACAAGCAAGAAATAAATCATCATATGAAGTAGTCGCAACCTAGTCAACACATTAAAAAATATATTAAGTCCTGCATCCTAGCAAACTGATAATATAACCATTGAAAGGATGGTTTAAGATGTAAATGTTGAAGAGGGTTTTGTCAAAATTGGACCAGTTAGGTAAATATTGAGAATTTTACAAAAATGTAAAAAAGACTATATGGAGTACCTTCCGCACCCAAGAGGACTTTTTATATAGTTGAATAAGTGCCGCACCCTATTGAACAACAATTTTAAACATTAGGAAGGTTACATAAAGTGAAAAATTGAAAAGGTTATGAAATCAATTGATGGGCTAGGTAAATATCGGAATGGTTACGGAAATTATAAGCCATAGAAATATCCAACTGGAGTCGATGCCTCAACCTGGTAAGGTAGAACGTTACCATAAAGAGAGTTATAGTTTGATGTTAAGGTTAGGTTGAGGTAAATACAAGTGAGAGTGGTATGATATAAATTCGAATCCAGATTTAGCGCCATGACCACTTGACCAAATTCTAGTTTGTAGAAGTTTTACTAAACCGTGGAACGGGTATTGAAAATACAGGGTATACAGGGTTAAATTCCCAAAGAGGCATTTAAGAGTTTAAAGTCGATTGTTTACACTATCATTTAAGATCAAAAGTAAATATAAGATTAATAACTCAAAAATGGTTGAATGATTTTCGATAGTTCATGGTGGCAAACAACTCACAATGTTCTATTATGTTTTCAAGTTATTGCAGTAAGTTTTTGTATTGTTTTTGTTGTAATTTTCGTTCTCGTTGTTGACATGATATTATTATGATATAAGTAGTTTTAGTTATTGTAAATACGAACATTAGAAGTGAAAGTTAACCTCACGATTTTCCTCCAACATACAATAACGACTTCAGGTTAACTTTTATATTCACTTATTTTTATTACTTGCCCATCCTTATAACATAATTAGTTACAAATTTTGGACAAATAATATTGCTATGACATGTCTAATAGCCTCGAAACAGCAATGGAGAAAGGAGTGGAAGAAGAACAGATCTTAAAGCGCCCAAGGTCTACCGTTAAACGGCAAAGAAGGAAATCTTCTGATTCCCATGAAGAGTTTGGGAAGGTTAGAATAGACGATACTCTCCTACAAGGTGGACGTCGAATTCAAGAGAACATTAAGAGTTTAGATGAATACTACAGACAGAAATGTAAATCATAAAGTTCAAAAGTACATCAATGGTAAAGTGCAACAATTGATGGAAATCATCGAGACAATTAATGATAAACGAGACGAACAGTAAACTAATGTTTATGAAAATTTAATTTAATCTGTTGTTGAAAAGTCAGTACCAATGATCATAGAAAGGTTTAAGGCAGCCACTACGGCACCCCAAGGGCTACCGATAACACCAGGGACATCTTGCAAAATAACAGTAGTTAGACAGTACCGACTCCCATGAAGGCATCACAGATTCTGTAACCAAAGTTAAGAGAAAGAGAGAGAAGAAAAAGTCTTCTGTTATGACCAAGGAGAGTGATATTAAACAGAGTGTACCACTAAAAAATCCATCTTAGGCATCAAGTAAAAATAAGGCGACCATGGCATATGTTAAAGCGCTGCCATTAATAGCACCGGATGCACCAAAACAACTTATCGGACCATAGTTGGTGAGGGAAAGAGAGCGGTTGATGGGATTTGTCTCATCCAACAGAACTTGGAATAAATTAACTGTCGAGCAACCAAGGCTGGTTCAGTTTTGCTTTGCGTTGAGGAAGATGCCGTGCCAAAAAATTACTTGAGTAGCAGAAATTAAAAGAAGCTGTGATGAAGGCAAGGCAAGAGGCCCTGAAAAAGAATCCGAAATTGGAAGTTAAAGGTGACGATTTTGGACAGAAGAAAATTTAGAAAGGGTACTGTGGGAGAAGGTAGTTGCGGAAGCACAGCGAAGTACAAATCGGGCCATATTAAGCCACTGTTTTCCAAAATGGCCAAAAATCAGATCACAAATAAGTGAACCCAGTAGTTAGATATAACCTTAACCTTCTGAAGGAGGAAATAGCAGCATGGGATTGGTGGGCATGGACATTCACTGATTACACTGATGCTCCTCCGTGTCTTCGATGCCAAGGATATAGGCATACTATGGCGTGAGGGTAATGGTATCATTTGCAATTGGTGCTGAAACGAGTTCCGACCACATTGAGAGAGTAATCGCCTGGTAAATAAGCCAGTATGCTCCCACGGTATTTAAAGGTTTTGTTACGAAAATAACTGACTGGAGTGTCTTTAGGTGCTGTCTGGAACGACTAATTCTAGATGCAGAATGGGATGTGGAAATGGAAATGGACATAGCCAATGACCTGTATTAGCAGGTATTTAGCTGCTGAAAATACATGTTTGAAAAGCAAGCCTTCGTACCACACCCAGTCGAAAGCTTGCGCTACGTCCAGAAAGGCGCCGCACAGTGGGCCGAGTAATGGAAAACTTGCGACATCGGCTAAAAAAAATATTTTTTTATAACTCTAAAAACTAGATAAACTGTTTAATTGATACCTTCGGCAGTTTGTGAGAATATTTTTTGTTGGAAGAATGAACATTTTATACTTTTGTTAGCAAATAGTTCAATTGAAAATCTAGTTAATTTGTGAAATTTTGCGTGATTTGTAAATTTACCTGGTTGGAGCTAATGGCTGATAATTTTTCTTGAAACTTTATCCTCTTTTTACTATCATTCTGGTTAATTAAAAAAAAAATATTTTTTTAAAATAATAGCAATCCTCCAAAAAAATAACAATCCTTTTTCCTGTTACTCTCTTTTCCATATTTGCACCTCTATTTTGTGTATATTGATACATTTGCACATTTATCTTATTTACTTTATTCTAACTTTTTATTTTCTTACACGTATTTAATATGTTTTGATAGATTTTACGGTATCTCAATTTTCTATTTAGATTTATTATTTCCTTATATAACTTCATATTCCTTTTCTCTGTTTTATATTTTATGCTATGATTATCTCATTTCCTTTCAGCATTCTGATACATCATATTTTACCAACTAAGTCACTCCATTTATTGTTTGTCTACACTTTTTGTTACAACTTTTATATCATACATTCCATTACATTTCGTTTTCAATTCATTTATCATTTCTTATGTTACGGATACTTTGTTGCCGTTATTATTTATTTCTTAGTTCTCTGTCACAGTTATTATTCTACCTACTTTAAGTAAGTCTGCTTTAGAACAAATATAAAGAACTGAAGAACTATCAACAATAAAAATTCCGGTGATATTGAACTTTTTAAAAATAAAAGTTTTTTCACGTTTCAAGTCTTGTTTAAGTAAGATGGAGCTCTGCGCTGACTATGTGAGGCAACCCTTAGATGGAACGCCTATAAAGTAAAAGTAAGTAAGTATTGTTTAAAACAGTAAGTTTCGTCAAACATAAAATTAAAAAATGTTGATATTACAGTGGGTTTTATTATGAGAATCGATGAACTCAATTCAAGAAAGTTATCTATGCCGGCTTATTTCATAAATTTTTTGGGCACTTATGAGTATAGTTTGAATTTGTACTACAAACCCTAAACTTCATTACATAAATAGCTTTTTAGAACTTTTATTTTAAATAAGATTGTTTTCCTCCTGGACTGCTAAGATGAAACATAGAAAAAAAAATCATAAAAATTTTAATCTCTGATTTTTATTGTTTGAAATAATTCAACTTTTTCTCTTAAAAATATTACACAACTTCCATGTTTTTTTAAATATTTCATTTATTTTTGCTAGTAAGCATAAAACGTAGATCATCGACGCCTATGATTTGATTAGAATTTATACAATTCTGAAAAAAAAATTATACAAAAAGAACCAAATACCTGTTGTTTTTAATCGCCACATGTAAACGGCCACCCCAAAGAATGGAATCGATAGAGGTCCAGGCAGATTGGAACGCCTGCTCCACGATTTGGCCATCAGGCCCAAGAGTAGAACTAGGAGCGCAGTGACCAATACCAGGGCGACGCTCATCATTAACAGCCATCAACTCTAAGCTAACTATATATGTGTGTATATTTCCCTCCCCACTACTTAATGAACGAATTCAACTTGATTGCAGGTTTTTATATTGTAACCTAGGAAAATATACATGCAAGAATAAGAACTCTTTAATAAAGAGCAATATATTTTTACATTCACTTTTTCGTTAATAAAATAGTAAGAGAAAGTATTGCAATCTTGAAAAACTTCGGATCACCTGATTGCAAATATATCCGAAAAAATAGGGTTTGTGTATGAAGTGACTATCTCAAAAATGTGAAGTCAATAGAAACTAAAATTATATATTTTAGGTAGGAGTGCTCCTGGATTGTTACAGCACGTTTTTGTGAAAATCAATATTCCAAAACTACTACTCTACATCAACGATTTAAAACTTTTTTGGCTTATTTTTTTCGATAATGAACCTTTGTAATCGAGTAAGAAAAGAAAAAGTTGGCCACCTAAAAATTTGAAGTTTCACAGTTCAAGAAGCGTACAGGGGTGCCAAAAAGGACGTTTTGTGGCGCCAAATTTAAGAGAGGGATACTTTTTGACTGAGTTTTTAATTTTCGGGGGGGGGATGGCACATTTTGACGGGGTTATGAATTTTCAAAATGAAAAGGTTCAAATTAAAAGACAAGTGGAAGCATGGCACAGACCGTAGGTTGTGTAATTGTATATAATCTATGAATATTTAAATTCTACTTTCTTTTGCACTGTAAAAGAAAGTAGGAAGGAAAATCCTGGAACGTATCCAGAAATGATCTTTAGGAAGTGAAAACAAATTTCTTATAGGGCTCTATTATATTATAATTGATGCAAAACTCCTAATAGATTCCAAATCCAACCTATGACAAACCATATAAAATTGAACGATTAGTAATTATATGAAGATAATTAGTAACTGTTTCTCCAAGTCATGCGGCATTCAAGGAAATTATTATGAATAATAAAACATGAAATGATTTAAAAAGCAATTTCGGAAAAACGGTCAAACATATTTAATTTAATTTTTATTTTCAATTATAATTAATAGCTATATTAGTCAGTTGTGGGGTGAAAATTCCCATAATAATAGTTACAACGATCACGTGGGTTACCCAGATCCTCGATGGCCTTCAATGCATTGCGTAGTTATTTCGAGAAAAAAACAGCAATAATTGCAACTAACACATAATTGAAGGAGCAAAACAAAGTAAGGTGTGTGCTTAAGACCACACGATAGAAGTGAAAACATCAACAAGGTGGAATTAATAATAGGAAATATAAATCTTTTTGTACTATATTCACAAATTAATAACTTTTACAATATATGCAATTATAATTGTGTATAAATGACTCTAGTTAACTTTGCTTTCACTGATCATACACTAAAAAATAAGCTTGGTACTACTTTTGGTCCAAGGTTCCAAAGTCTAACAAAATAGAATGCGCTTTCTGGGCCTCTGATTCCCGACAACAATGACTATTTATAAAGTTCCGGTTGTAGGTATTCTGAGGTATGCGTTCCCTTCCTGAAATCGAAACCTCTCGCACCAACAGAAGAGCAAGTTGGCGACAATCCTGTTAACGGCTCTGCTGAGAGTCACCAGTGCTAACAGGAGTGTGTCTGATGAGGCGGTGTAGGTATTAGCAGGAAGGGTGCTTCTCGAACTCCTCCTGCGAGAAGATCAATTAAAGGATACTTACAAGAAAGAAGGTTAAGCAGGTCTACCGGGAAATATCAAAGTAAAGATCGCAGAAAACCACAGAAAATGGAAAATTATAATCCGGGAGGATGCAATTGAAGAGTGCAATCAACGGTGGGTAACAAGCAAGAAAGCAATCCTGAGGAACTACTTTCCCACCGTTCAATCACGTTTGGAAGCCCAGTGGGTCCTCCCGGATTACTGGATCTCGCAATTCCTTATAGGGCATGGGAGCTTTCGTGCCAATCTCAGGGCTTAGGAAAAGACATCGATCCCCTATGTCCTTGCTGTGGGATCCCAGAGACTGGTGAACACATTATCATGAACTGTACCGCCTAGGAGCAAATTATTGAGTTAGACCGGTCTCTATGTTCTCACAGAGAACGATTTCCCTCAGTTAGCCACACGAGAAAACTACCCGTACTACAAGGAATTTGTTGACGAGTGGAAAGAAGCAGTAGGTCCAGCACACTTTAACTTAATAAAAAGAGGATCAGCTCGTGGAAGGCCACCGGAACGAGAAAGGAGCAGAAAAAGAATCACAAGAGCACGCAGATAACTACAAACAGCAGAATGATTATAATATGAAAACGAGTTCCATGCAGGAATAGGGAGTTGTGCGTAATGATGTAGTCATGCGTAACAGCTGAGCTCTGCACAATCTGTATTGCCTCAATGGCACGGCAGGGCTTGCATAAATAAATAAAAAAGACCAACAAAATGAAGAAAATTTATGAAGACACAGGACCACTGATAATAATAGGGATAATAGGGATCCGTCGGGAGTAAACTATAAATTCTAAGCTCAGAATAGGACACACTAGACTAACCCATGACCATCTCCTTGGAGGGAATCCTTCTCCAAAATACAGTAACTGTAATACACCCCTGACCGTCAAGCGCATAATGGAAAATTGTCAGCGCTTCAATAATTATGCTCAGACTCCAATGCTACCTTCAAATCTTGGAACAGGAAAATCAGAAGAGCTTACTGCAATCTTAGAAAAACAACAAATTGTATAAACTGATTTCAATTAGGAAACATGAAAATGGTGTCTATAGCCTTTGTTGTGGTGCATACCATCTTAAATTGTAACTAAATATATAAGTTTCCTTATTGAGATATATTACAATCTGTTACATTTAAGGACAATAGTAATAGTGATAAAGAGTAGCTCATTCATACTATGCACAATAAATAAAAATAATAAACAGCAATGTAATAATACTAAAAGTAAATGTATATAAATTAAATGATCCTAAACTAAACAGAAATAAACTGATCCAACAAAGTAAATATTTAAAGACACACATGATTTTATACAATATTCATTCACTCAAGGTCTCCGAGCCTAGCCTTTCTCCACACTATTGGAGGGAAAGGCAGGACTCCAGGAGATCCCAGCGCCTCTCACTCAGCCGCATCACTGGTGTTACCAGTGGAGGCTGAGCAGAGACGCTATAACCAGACATACCTGGCTTGAGTGGAGAATCCGGCCATTGCCAGAGCTCTATATATATTTATTTTTATAATAGGTCTCTGAGTCACTGCCGCTTCAACCTTCGAGGAGGATTTTAGGGATGAGTCACTAGCGGATCCAACCGGGGAGCGCCCTCCCCCCTTGGAGACTATTAAAAAAAATCCAAAAAAGAGCTATTGAAAGAAAAAAGAAATAGAGAGAAAATTCATCCTCATAGATGATGAATTTCCTAATATAAAATCGTGACCAGCACTAGTGAATCCTGCCAGGGAACATACCCTCCCTTGGATGGTGGAAAAAAAATCTGACAAAGTGACAAAAAATAGCTATTTAAAAAAATAGAAATATAGAAAAAAATCATCTCCATACACGAATTTCTTAACGTAATATAAAAAAAATTATTACCATGACCAGCACTAGCGAATTCTGCCAGAAGGCGCACCCTCCCTTGGATGCTGAAAAAAAATATTAAAAAAGTTCCAACAACGCCTATTTAAAGAAAAGAGAAATATAGGGAAAATTCATCCTCTTAGACGAATATCCAAATGTAATACGACGAACCCCGAGACGTTCTCGTGTATCTCACTATTACGCCGAGTTAGGGTGGCTCTTCCCCTCCTTCAGAAGACAATATTTCCTAGGTACATTCCCTTACCAAATAATCTATAATCATTGTCCGTCCTACGAATTCAATCTCCTTCAATTCAAGTCATCTATCCACTCCTTCTCCACAAGATCTCGTCCTTCTGACCTTTATACCCCTTTCCACAAATCTGCCTCATTTCAACACTCCTTTATTGTCCGCTCCACTACCTTTTGGAATTCCATCCCACTTAAAATTCGCCATGCACCATCCCAATCCATATTTAAAAATCCTCCTATACCAATTCCTCCTAACAATTCAATCAGACGCTGGGTAGCTACTTATCATGTAACAAAATTGCATTTTTCTCTATTTATCATTTGTATATAAATATATATTCTTTTTTGAGCATGGAAAGATGTTTAGTCACGTTCTGTAATGTAAATGTAATAAAGTAAATACTTCTGTTATCACTTAGTTTTTAGTTTGTTTTTTTTTATCGTAATATGTATTTTGGCCACATAGAATGTTAATTTTTAAGTAAAAAATTGTTATTCTTAAGGGACTTTGTCCCAGAATAAAGTTGATTCTTTTATAATAGAAAAAAAAATTATTATCCTGACCAGTACTAGCGAATTCTGTCAGGGGACGCACCCTTTCTTGGATGGTGGGGAAAAAATCTGAAAGAAGTTCCGAAGAACACTGAATAAAAGGAAAGAGAAATATAGGGAAAATTCATCCTCATAGACGAACTTTATAATGTACAATTAAAAAAATACCAATTTTATTACTCTTATGATTTGCCGTATTACGTCACCTCACCAGGCTGTGGCACACGGCGAGATTTTGTGAAACCAAGAATAGAATGTAAGAGCAAAAGTTGGGTCGTAGGTTGAAATGATGTAGTTTTTGAGCCACCTTCAATTGCGAAGGGTTGTTTTCCAGTCATAGTTTGTTCCTAATCACTCCGAACTGAGTATCGCAGCTGGACTACATGATAGAGGAAAATTAATTAATAAAAAAAAACTAATTAATTCTTTCGAACAAGATTTTATTCGAGCCTAAGAAAATACAGCTTTTCTTTCGGAACCAATTTTTATTAAGTTCCAATAGATCTGGCCGCATTGCAACCTCCAGTAACTAACTATTGCCTCCTTGAAGAATCTATGGGATACATAAAACTGGTCACGATAATAATTTGTATATTTCTCAATAGAAAGTGTTGTTCTTTTCTTAAAATAG